AAGTTCATTTGAAATGTCAATTTTTGTAAGTTCATACATACACACACACACTGTATTTAGAATTATGTTTATGAAAAATACAAAGAGGAGACATATTTTAAAGTTTTTAAATTTAAATCAATATACATAGATAAACAAATCTTTTCTTTCAAAGCTTTTCTTTTTAAAATGTATATGAAAAAAATTTATCGCAAGACTAGGTCAAATGTCAAAGTAAGCATAAAGAAGGCAATAACGCAATTAGTAATCATAAGAACTTCGTAACATTCACAATTCAGTTATTTTTGGCAAAACTTTATCTTCTTTCACAATCGATCGATAAAACTATCGACAACAACGACATAGCTATTTAAAATTTTATGAAAACTGGCAATCCTACAGATGTCATTTTACTCTGTCTTCAAAAAGACAGACTAGTTCTTAGTTCAAACTCACTACAAATATCCGCACCGAAAACATAGACACACCGTAATATACATTGTAATTCATTTTTATTAGTATTCATTCACCCATCCTCACCGGACTTCTCTAGTGCTGTGGCGATTCCAGACTTTGGCACAAAAATCTTTAGTCTATTTTCGTGTTTGTATTTAAAAGTAATATTTGTATGTATTTCTTTAGGTATTATTTTTCGTATCAGCAAGCATGAGTAACATTTATAAGTTGTAATAACATCTAATAATTTTGTTTCCTTATATAATTTTAGAGTAGGGGTTAGATGACCATAATTAAATAATCGTTTAATAAGTTTATTTTGCGATATTTGTAGTATATTAAGATTACTTTTAGCTGCTGAACCCCAGATTTCGATCAAACAATCAATGTGTGGCTTCACTAATGAGTTATATATAGTACACCGTACATTGCGCGGTAAGCAACGAACTTTGCCGCGGAGAGCGCCATTTAAAGACGTTAATCTTGATTTAATCATCACAATATGCGGCTTCCAGGTCAGATGTTTTTATCAAGAATGAGGCCTAAGTATTTCTCACTATCTGAGTTTTCCGTTATTTTATTGTTAATAGTAAGTGGCTCGAATTTTGATATCACTTTGTTTTTGGCACAGAAAATTACATAGTGCGTTTTGGCAACATTAAGTGTTAACAGATTGAACTGAAACCACACATTGAGAAGATCAAGATCTTTCTGGGCATATTGTAACCATATCGTACCCGAAATAAAATAGGCTAGTATCGTCAGCGTACAACGACAATTCCCATGTAAGTTCGAGTTTACTTATACTATTTATGTAAATTAAAAATAATAGGGGTCCTAAAATCGATCCTTGGGGAATACTATACGCGACTTCAAGGCCCTGCAGCTTCGCTTCCACTAATTCAGAGTCACCTATAAGCCTCTTGACACGCTTGTTAACTCCGGTTATATTATAATGTTCCATCCTTATTTATGTGTAACTTTCGCGGTTACCTTGGTACGAGGAATGGAGGAGAGGGATGTTTGATCCTAGTGAACACGTTGGATAAATAATAGTTTTATTTATTTATAAATCACTAGGTACTATAGAACAGAAGAAAACACAAGTGTTATCGGAGCGTTGTCAAGTGTCAACCTTAGCCGGTCATTGCTTTTGATAATTTTAAGGACCAATGAAGTTAGACTCACCTAAGAACGTCATGTCCAAAAATCGCAAGTCGCATTGTATCCACTGTGGGGGTGTCAATGTGAGAACTCCGTCTGGTTTTGATGCCACACTTGTTACGCCTGTCGACAATTTTCTAAATTTAATAAATTTTAGAGCTCCTACAAAAGAGTCCTTCCAAAGAAGTGCTGCCACCTACTTTGACACTATTTTTGCTGCCTAGAAGCAATGTGCGTTCCTGTTTTGAAGGGTAAGGATGCTAATAAAATTATAGGCACAAGGGACTTGACGACGTAATGTCTCGGGGTGACGGGCACAGCGGCATGGCAGTGCCCCTCAGCAGCTTGATTTTGATTGCCTCTCCCGATCGGAAACTGCGTCTTTTCATAATTGCGATTCACAACTGGCCGATTAGAAACTTTTGACATTTCTAATCGGAACAATAGTTGATTTAACTCACAAATTAGAAAGATATAGTAGGAATCAGATTCAACTTTTCGTTCGGAAACCCATCTGATTTCGAGACTCGAATCGATCAATTCCAATTTGAATTAAAATCAGCCTGCACGTCTTTGCGATTTAAAGCTCTGAGTGGCACTGTAACTGTCATGGATACGCGGAGTGGCAATGTAACTGTCATGGATAGGCGTGTCGCTTACTACTAGGCGCGCGACTTTTGTTTTGCACACACTCATTGCATCACTAGGGAAACCCTGTATCGCGGGTGCCATAGACACACGATGTGCAGTATAATTTATAGAAGTATAATTTTACGACACAACTCGTCATTTGTCTTCGAACTTCGAAATTTTAAAAAATGAAATCTAATACGATCGTCACTTATGGGATCGCTGGCCAGCACAACGTCTACCTCCGGCAAACTCGTGTCAAAGCTTAACAAAGCAGTTTCGAATTGACGATATTATGTAAACATTTTTATTTTCGTTTTATTAAAACTTTTTAATCAGGTGCCCCTTGCAATACTAGTTATAAATCTAGAAACTTACAGATGCCACTCTCATTTGATTATATTTTTTTCGGTAATGAATTGAGATTACTAGTGAGACCAAATCTAATATGTCAAAACGGCCATCGTAGCGTGCGGGTATTGTAGTTGTAGCTAATGTTAAAACAACTTACTTTGTCTAATTCTTATTAATATAAATATAAACATTACCACTTTTTATTGTCATTTTTTTTGTTACGCTATATGTGAATGTATTTAGATGAATAAATAATAATTTGAGGCTAAAATAATTGAACTTACCATTATGTGTTCCTTTCAGCGTGGGCTCAATCTGTTTACTAGGATTTGCATTCGGATCCGTGTTGTCTACTTCATAGTGAACATATCTGTAATTGTAAACCGATATTGTTTTAGGTTGACTGTACAATACACTGATGTGAGCGTTGGTGGGTTCTTTATTGCGTAGAATGGTACATACTTGCACATGCCTATATTTTTAATTATACAGGGTGACAGTTGAATGAGACAAATATTTAAAGAGGCGAATGAGTAGCTAGTAGAGTAGTAGTAGACACTGAATATGTTAGAAAACACTACCTTATCTTTAAATATTGTTCTCTAAGGAAAATACTGCCTCTAACATACTCTGCGCGAGATACCGCGCCAAAAACTGTCTCCGTGGCCGAGTGGTTGATAAGAGGTCGTGTTGTGTGTGCGTAGTGAAAATGGTGACGCCAGAAATTGACAAATGATGTTTTAAACAAAATATCTTCGAATATTAAGTCACTAAGTTTTTTCTTAGAAATGTCAATTACTGGCATTGCCATTTGCACTACGCGCACACAACACAGGGACATGATGTGGTGTTACGTTGTGGTATGTTATGCATATTATGTTGTTAGTCGTGCTAGGGACCTGTACGAGAAATGTTCCTTAGTCGACGAGCTCCATCCTATATATTGATGTTAGGACTCTATTTTGTCTGTTCTAAGTTAAGATCAAAGTATGAAGGGAAAACTGAGTACTATTTAAGTAGGAAGGCTTGACACGCGCTTGTAGCGCGACGCGGGAGTTCAATTTCCTAACGCTCAGCCGTTTCATAGTGTAGCTCAAATGAAGAGTGTGATTTGCAAAATAGTACGACCTTTTTTTTTCTTATGTTGAGGCGCGATTATTTTACATATTCGAATTAATTATCAGCTACTCGTTCGTCTCTTTAAATCATCAAATCAACCAGAAATAGAGACGAAATGAGGCCATCCATCCCTGCCAACTCATCAGGCAAATGGGCCTTATATAACTTTTAAATATTAACTCTCGTTTGCACAGACAAACACAAATTAGAAGACTGAAATAGTATTGCGCCAACAACTGACCTGTGTGTTCTCTGTATATTCCAAAAATATTCTGTATTTATTGTAATAAAGATACTATCTCTAACTATGGGGGGCTGCTCCATTCGGTGGTGTGGGAAAAACTGCAAAACATCTAATTACAAAACAAACGGAATCACATTTAATCGGTAATAAAATATTAAAAGTAATTTTTCAATTTTCGTCCATTATAGCAAAGTTCAAGTTAAACTGGTCGATTTGAAGCGAACCAATTGACGACACCCGTCAATTGTCTCGAATTCGGACTGGCCAATCGGAGCGCAGTTGTCGCCGTAATGATTTGGCAGAGTAGTTTTCAAACAAATTGAATGAGATTTCGACTCTATTTCTGATTATATATTCGATGCTTTAAATATTTATTTCATTCAACCTGTCAACCTGATTTAAAAAATTGTATTTTAAATTTAGAATTAAAAATATAGGCATGACCTAATGTCATGGAACAAAAGTTGTTGTTTATGATGTTAACAATATAGTTCTGCGAAGTACTTAGTATTTTACAAATAACCCTGTATCTTAGCTATTGTAGATAAATTTATCCATAAGTAAAACTTACTTGCAACTATCCATATGAAAACAAGTGTTCAAGAATGAGCAATCTCCAAGGGATTCGTCTGTGTGACTTTGTATTATCTTCTTGAAGTGTAATTTCTTGCAAGTGTACTCTTGTTTCTGGCCGTCTTCTGCCTGCGCAGCGTTCAATGCACGAACGCATTCAGCGCGAGTACCGTGCGGACAGAACTCCATTACTTGGGCTCCTGAGAATACAACCACAGTGCCAATAAACATTCCTTCTTCTTCTACATCTTTCTTTTTAATACCAAGCGACGACGGGACGAACAAGTCGTGTGCCTGGTGGTACGCGACATGTCTATCCATAACAGTGTCAGTGCCACTCAGAGCTTTAAATCGTAAAGATCTGAAGGGTACTGCCACTACGCCCGTTACTCTGAGACATAAGTTGACAAGTCCCATGTACCTGTAATTTCACCAGCACCTAAAACTGGAATTCAGTAATGCTGACATTACTGCTTGGCGGCAGTATCTTATTATTATAGTATGTAGGTTTCGAGATATGCTCTTGTTCTGCGGCTTTGCCAAATTTTGTCTTTAGTATTATTTTATTTTATAACAAGATTCTATTCTATTTCCTTAATGGTGGCCACTAGGCTTATTAAATTATGTTACTGCATTGTAGTAACGTGCATAGACTTCACATAATACTTACCTCCTTGGCTCTTGAACTTGTCAGCCAACGATTTCTCCTTGGCCGTAGGTTTACTGAGTAGGTCCATTATCTCCTCGCCAACTCTTTTCACTGCTTTCTCGCGGCTTGACGGCATCGCCAGTAGTGACTGCGGAACACAATAGTGACATGAGATATTAGCGTATATGACATCTAATTGGTATAATGAACTTAATTAAGATGATTTAAGGTTTAATTGGATTATAGTTTGTCTTTTTTGAAGACGGAGGTAAATGACATTTTATTGCGCAAAAGTGTTGCCCGCTTGCGAACAGCTAGTGATTACGTGATACGGTCGATAAACTTTCTATCGACTTTCGACTGAATATTAATAATAATAATAATGTGTATTTCCAAGCGTTAGTTCACAGTAAAGACATTAAATCTAGGATAAGGTTAGAACATTACAGACATATTCCCTGACTCTCAAAGTAGAAGAGCCCGTGACATGAGAGCCAGTGTTCCTACGTGTCTTAATTAACAACCTTACTACAAAAAGAGTTCGAGAGTGCGCGCGTGGGCGTGTGTGTGGGAATGTGTATGCGCGTGCGTGAGGGTATGTGTATGAGCGTGCGTGCGTGTGTGTATTGTGTGTGTGTAATGAAATCTGTATGTTTTTTAAAAATATAAAATTACTGTATAGCAAATAATTTAGTGTATATCACTAATTCTTGGTTTATTAAATTTTCCGTCGAACCATAATCTAAATTGACAAAAAACGTAAAAAGTTTATTTTTGAGTTCAAATTTATTGAGATGAGCTAATTGAATTTTTTTATCTATTTTATTATACAAAAATGAGCTACATCTGTACTGTCTGCTCGCAAATATGGTTCTATAGGGTATTTGCGTACATACCGGTTTCCTTCTTCTAATTAGATAATTTAAGTCAGCCCACGAGACAGAAGAATGATGGCGCACAATAATTTGGAGCACAAAGAGTTGTCTCACTGTCAGAACGTTGCAAACCTGGTATATCTGGATTGTAGGTCTAAATGGTCTGTGGAGCGTTACTTTTAAGACTGCTCTTTGGGCTCTTTCAAGTTTGAGTAACGAAGTTTTATGGGCACCACCACAGACTGACATGCAGTATGTTATTACTGATTTGCAGAGGGCCTGATAAACTATAAGTAGTGTGTTTCGCTCAGCTGAGTGTCGGAGCTTTTTCATTATAAATATTAACTTTCTAACACGCGAGCAAATATTGTCAATATATCTATGCCAATTTAAAACATCATCAATGTGCACACCCAAATACTTAATACAATCAGTTCGGGAAATACGGGAGATACATTGGCAAGGAGATTCAGAAGAAGTATGTGCCGCAATAGAGAAATCAGCCGGAGGTGTAGAAGTATTTCTCATCGAGAAGGGGATATATTTAGTTTTGTCAATATTTAGGCTAAGTAAATTGTTGTTCAGCCAATATATTTACTGTTTTCGATGCTTGTTCCGAGTGAGATTTGGCAATAGACCAATCGGATCCAGTGACGACGAGTACAGTGTCATCAGCGTAGGATATTATTTTGCAGTTGGAGATAGCAAGTTGACAGAGCTCGTTAATGTAAATTTTAAACAAGGTGGGACCCAATACACTCCCTTGTGGAACCCCAAATGTTATCAGCAGTTCGTCACTTATACAGTTCCTTTAGCGAGAAAGGAACCTTGGAAGGAAGTCTTGCTTACCATAATATCAGTGTCTCCTTTTTTGTCATCTGTGGCAGCCTTAGACGTTTTCGGCATTGGCCCTTCTTCTACCACATTTTCTCCTGAAAAACAAGTAATGAAATAAGTTCCTGGGGTGGATGTGTTCTGTTTCATCAAATTATTTTACTATTATAATGTTAAGTGTATTGAATATCACACAGTTTTACTACCATCATATTCAATAATTTTTTTGTGAAATTACTCCGCTAGTTTCGAACAGAGAAAAATTCCTTCAATCCGGCTGGATTCGAACCAGTATCTTCAGTTTACCGTTTCTGGCTTATTTTGAACTGAAATTAATTTTGAACCTTTACCATACTATAACAACACAAGTAGTGCAACTAACAAAAAAAAGGACTAATGTATATTTTACTATGCCGTACATCCGTACGCAGCCGACGACGCAGGGCTCATCGGCCGCGTGGTTGACAACCTAACGGCTAAGTTGGAGTCCGAACGGCCGCGTCAACACCCGAATGCTAACGACAATGACATCGCCTGAAAAGTTCTAACTTTAGAACAGCTAACGTCGAAATAGGGGGAGTGGGGTGCGGTGGTGGGGGAGTGAGGTGCGGGGAGAGGAAAGGAGGATGTTCTGTGATTTTTCGAAATGTTTAGTTTCTTGCGCGAACGTCGATAAGTGTCGTTAAACGCTATTGAATCACGACGGTTCCGTGTTAAAGGCCTCTCCACACTCGCGCGAAATCACGGTGCAGATCGCGGCAAGAGTTGTCACAGTTTCACACTCGCAGAGGTTCACGCCTGCTTCACAGTACAGTTCGCGCGCTTGACGAAGATGGACACCAAAGTTGCTGTTGCTGCTGCGGGACTACTTTGCGCTTTGGCGATTTACAATTATGCTTTTATAAAGAAGAAATGCTAGAACAATCTAAAAATGTCAGTTCTAGTTCATTTGTCCAATCCACGGCCATTTTAAGCACTTTCAAATCGGTAATAATAAAAATACAAATACAACCTTCCGCAGCATTTACTTATCGGCAAATGAGGCGCACGCGAATGTGGCGCCCTATCGCGTTCAAGCGAAGTTCGCGCTTCGCAAATGCTTTGTCGCGGGACCAAAATACCGACAACAAACGGGAATCCACACTAACGCTTCGCGGGTAGTTTGCGGCTTCGCGATTGAATTGCGTGCGAGTGTGGAGAGGCCCTAATAGGTTTGGTGACTCCCTATGGTATACTTTCTTAGTCAATTGCACCTTGGAAATAGTATCTTTATATATTACCTTTCCTCTTTACAATTGCCTTTGTAGTGGACTGCTCCTCAATAAGTGCAGCAAGTACGGCCGCAAGTCTCACCGATTCTGCGCCCACCACTTCAATCTCTGGTGTGATTTCTGTACGCTCTTTAATGCTGCACACATATTATTTGTTGTTATTATTTTACCATTTAACAGTAGTTACGTTTAAACAACAATATTTAATACTATTAATATCACTTTCTACTGAACACTTTTATGGATTCATAGGTGTTAATGCATTCCTATATTTCAGGCCATTAAAGTCTTAAAAATGTATATAAAACATTCAATGATACAAAAGCATTTACATTTTTTTATAACTTATTTCAACGACTAACTCAGTAAACGCTGTTGGATAACGATATCGTATCCGAATCTGAATCTAACGTTTAACTAGAATGTTCTGAATAGCACGGAAAGCGCCCTTCGATTCGAAAACGATATCCAATCTTTTTTGTCTTTTTTATAATATCAAGTAACGGGACGAACAAGTCGTGCGTAAAATGGTTCAGTAGTTACTTGACTGATAGGACTCAAATTGTCAAAGTTCAGGAGTTGAACGGCCATATCTCCAGATCTCCTGTAATGAGTGCGCATAGAGGCGTGCCACAAGGATCGATATTAGGACCCATTCTTTTCGTTTTGTACTCTGCGGATATCATAAGTAATGTGAAATACTGTAAGTGCCATCTTTATGCGGATGATGTCCAAATCTATATTCATACGAGTCCACAGGATTTAAATCTGTCCCTTCCCAATATGAACTCCAATCTTGATAGTATTGCCCGATGGTCAAATCATAATGCTTTGATTCTAAACCCAACTAAACCTAAGTTTATGGTTCAGGGTTCAAAAAACCAGGTTATTTTTATAGGTTATAAGATTAGTATTCTTGGAACATCGGTCGAATTTGTTAACCAGGCCAAAAATTTAGGTGTCACTGTGGATAGTGGGTTGTGATTTGTGAGTCATGTAGAGTCTATTGCCAGATCTTTCCTCTTTCGACTAAAGATATTATATAAAATTCGTCATTTACTCAGTGAAGATATTAGATTAAAAATGTGTCAATCTCTTATTTTATCAAAATTGAATTATGCGGATACAGTTTTCTGTGGATAGTGGGTTGCGATTTGTGAGTCATGTAGAGTCTATTGCCAGATCTTTCCTCTTTTGACTAAAGATATTATATAAAATTCGTCATTTACTCAGTGAAGATATTGGATTAAAAATGTGTCAATCTCTTATTTTATCAAAATTGAATTATGCGGATACAGTTTTCGGTCCCTATTGGATTAAAAATGTGTCAATCTCTTATTTTATCAAAATTGAATTATGCGGATACAGTTTTCGATCCCTGTCTTCTCTCTACATCAAAAAAATTAATACAACGTGTTCAAAACGCCTGCATTCGTTTCTGTTATAAAATTCCACAGAAGAGTTATGACTCTTCTTCTGAACGGGGTGTTTTGTTATATGTAACACCTTTGCTAAACCTACACGGTATTCTTAATATGGAATCTAGAATGGAATGGAATGCGCTCTGTTGTTAGACACAAAAGTCCACCTTATCTATATGCCAAGTTAAAATGGCAGACTTATTCCTATAATTCACGCAGAGTTAATAGTTTTTTATTGGTAACGCCATTCCATAAAACAAGAGCCTTTGAGGGTAGCTTCCGGTATCAGGCATCTAAATGCTGGAACAATCTGCCTCCTCCACTTAGATAGCCAATCTCAAAATTCGCATATAGAAAAAATATGAAAAATCTATTGATAGAAAACTAGCGTATGCTCTGATGCCGCATGTTCTTAAGTCTTGTCTCCTAACTTATTTATATTTATGTATGTTTACTTGTAGTTTTGTATGTATACATGTATCACACGTGTATTGTAAATGTGTAGTGTGGCATAAAGCAGAGGATACACAGAGCATGTACCATTTCCTTTAGGTCTCAGCCGACGCTGAAACAGGAACGACTGAAAATCAGCGTCTGTCTCGCCCGAGATAGACACATTGCTGAGTCGTATCCTTTTCTTCTTTTGCGCCACTATACACACTTACTAATTTAAAATCACGCAGCTATTTGTTGCTTTAGTATTAAGTATTAGATTTAAGTGCGTATAATTGTAATTAAATTGTGCGTGACTCAATTTAACGAATAAACGTTTTCCTTCCTTTCTTTCAAATATCAAAGAGTTCTGAATCCGGATCCCGTTCCGAATTCGAGAAATGACGGTACGATTTGTCACAGGGATCATTTTATCTCTAGGTGTACAAACTATATTCGTATTTTCTCGGATTTGAATCGGACTTAGTGCACTAGCGACATCCGAAGTGGGTCCGAGTTTTTTAGGTTGGTGTAGTTCCGGATTCTGAACGAATACGAATAGCAGTGCGCAAATGTCCTAAGGGTGAGGACTTGGTAAGCTGTAATACAAATCTAGTTGCCTAGCACAGACTCCATTATCTCAAAATGAGTTACATACATACATACGGACGACTTCCAAGCTTGAGTGGCTTGCACACCGGTTGTCATGATGTCACTATCTTTGAGGTCCCTGGTTCGATCCCCGGCCGTTTTAATGTAGAAAAACTTTCCTATAATTGTCTCGGGTCTGAGTCCTTGTGGTACCGTCGATGTTTCCGAATCCCATAACACAACTGCTTTAGTTACTTACTTTGGGATCGGACCAACGTAAACAAACCATTATTTTAACCACAGATAATATAATACTATATTATTAGATAGGAATGAAACTATTTTTCCGGATTTAAATCGCGTATATTTGTTTTTTCAAACAAACTGACGTTTCGGGCCCTTTACAGGTCCCATGGTCACGGTTGGTGTTTGAAAAAACAAATATACGCGATTTAAATCCGGAAAAATAGTTTCATTCCTATGTATAACAATCGCGAAAACCTAAGAACTCGATATATATTATTAGAATTAGTAAATGTCTTGTGTAACTATTATATTATTACATTTTCACAAAATTTTCAATGGTCGGAAAAAAGGTGATCCACATATTATAGATACATGTATAGATATGGCTACAAGGAGCGACATAGAGTTGTTAAAACAACCAAATATTAATTACTTTTTTCGAATTCCGGATTTCCGGAAATGGTTTTACGGCATCGTAGGACGAAATTACTGACCTAGGAATTCGAAGTTGGATTTTAAAGTAATTCTAATGGTGCCATGTAAAAAATGCAGTAGATAACTAACCTTTTACCAAAGGAGAGAATAAAAAGTAACGAGAATGGTCACTCTCCGCCCCTCCTTTGTTGCAGTATAACTAATTCCGGAAATCCGGAATTCGAAAATAGTAACTAATTAATATTTGGTGGTTTAACAACTCTATGTTACTCCTTGTAGCTATATGTATAGATTTGGAACACCTTTTTCCGACTATTGATTATCATATTTAACAGATAAAAGGGTTTTATGAGTAATATCAGGTACTTAAGTTTCTTCACCCGAAACATTGCGTCGGTTAAATGCTAAACGGCCGCATGTCAAAAGTTCACTTTTTTACAGGAGAGTTATGGAACGAACCAGCGTACCTCACGAATTTTTCTATGTGTTTCTTGTCGTGTCTTTGTATTTGGATTTTTCAACGAGTTTTTGGCCGTAGCGCCATCTATGAGAAATGTTAAGTATTTCGTCACCCAGTCAGATACCTTTACGGCTACTAGCCCTGACTAGAGATGGCATGCATTTTAATATTGTTTTATTTTTAAATACCCATGTATCTTCTGAGTATAAAACTCAAAAGATGCGTATTTTAAGGCTCTATAAATTTATAAAAACAGACAACTCACAAAAGGACTGCTTAGCTAAAAAGTTAGCCACGAAAGTGCAGAATGCCAAACAGGCATTTGCGTAATTCCATTGTTTATAATGCCAAATCGCTAGGTGTTTTCGTGTAGTATTAAAGTTTGACCGTTTTTGCACACATTTTTGCAATAAAAACATTTTTGAAATTTTTTGTGATTCGGCGGTTTAGTATTTAAGCGACGATTTGTTTGAAATAACAAATAAACGCGATTTAGGGCGTTGAATGCCAGACGCATATAGCAGCGCTATAATAGCGCGACTGTGGCGCGGCAGCCGCCTGTCCGTAATGCTTTAGTAATTTTTAGTTCACTAATTGTGACAGCAAAAGTGGCGCGCGGGTGTCACGACTGTGTCGCTGCAACCGCGCTTCCAAATATTGTATGAAAATTAGTAGTCGCGCGGCTGCAGCGCTTCCACAAGTGTTTTTGGAGGCCGGAAAAAATAGTTTAAATTAAAATAAAAAAATTTGAAGTAAATATCACGATGTAAGAGGTGAAATAACATCGGGTACAGTGCAGACCCGCGTATGTGGTATTGGTAAAAAGCGCGTATCTGCACCAAACCAAAATTTCACAGGAGAGACGTTAAATCCCACGTTATTACTTTGTTATTTCAATGGCTACGACTTCCATTTTTGCACAATAAGCATTAATTTATGTTGTTAACGGACTGGTAACAATAGATTGATGCTTACAATCATAAGCATTTGCTAGTTAAGCGTAATTAATAACGCACACACTCAACATAGCCCCGCACTAGGGAAACCCTGTGTCGCGGGTACCATGGACACACACATAGACAATCACAAATTACACCCAAACTCACGAGAGAAATAACTGTAGGCCATACAATATTTCTCCCGGCCCGGGAATCGAACCTGGGACCTCTGCTTGGCAGTGCGGCATGGTAACCGTTCGGCCACGGAGGCAGTTTGCTCTATTCTCGACGACAACTCAAATTTTAAGTAACGTAATAATAAATATAAATTCTTACTACTTCGTTCTTAAACTTCCTTGTCGAAACAGTTTCTTAATAATTAGGAAGTGTCAGCTGTGTCATTATTGATTAGTGACGGTAACTTTACAAATAACTTACGTGATTAATTTCTGTGTGGCAAACTTCTCAAGCAAATTAGCCACAATGCCCGCGTCAACATCTCCTAACCCAGGGAGCAGTGCACTTGCTGTTGCGGGTAATTGCAACTGCATGTCAGCAAGCACTTGGAGGAGACGCACTTCTAATGACGCTGATGGTACCAAAACCTTGGGTTTTTCTGATGGTGCTGGTGGAACAATTGTAAATGCTATCTTTAATAAAATTATATGTATGTACGGCAGACATAAGTCAGTAGATCACTACATCAATAACATAGTTTCATCAAATCAATAACAAACAAATCTCACACAAACATCATCATCACAAATCTTTAATTTTCAAGTTTAGGTTTAAATTGATTACTAAATTAAAAAAGTAATTTATTGTATTGCTTCAGTTTGTTAAACTTTCAATAATATTTATTTTGGTTTGCAAAAAACAACTACAGTACTTCTATTTTCTCAATGTCCCTTGGCAAACTTCATGTTTCGGCTGTCGTCGGGTTTTATTAAGTTGCCCTTTGGTATAGACAGGACGCTTTCAGTCGACTTGGAAGTATATAGAGTTGCTATTACATTTTTTATTTATTATACAATGGTAGGAAAGCTGCTAAAGTCACAGGCATGACAGATAATTTACAGTGCGTACATGCATTTTTTACATGAAGTCGATACCTGTTTGAGCAGCACGGAAAGTGATTATTCCATTGATGGCGAAGATACTAACATAGCAAGGTGAGGTGAAGAAATGCATTCAGATACGGACTGAATTGAAATGATTAATAACCGGAAAAATATTTATTTTTAGTTATAATTAAAAGAAGCACATTTTATTTACTTCATAGTTTCGATAACTTGCTTATTAACATGGAGTAAATGTTATTAAAAATAGAGACACTGTTTTACAGCTCTATATAGTTCACACAGAAATCAAAACAACAATAAAGTACATTGTTCAAAATTAAAATTATTACAGATTTTAATTCTAATAATTAATGAGAATGGAAATTTATATTCATGTGCATTCGGAAATTCAATGCTGGCGGAGAGACATTGACAAAATAAAAACACAACATATAATATCACTATTACAATCTTATTGTTTTAAGTCCATCACAGATGCTGCAGGAGCCGTATCTTAAAATTTTGCTTCCCATACAATTCACAATGTTAATATGTTCGGATACTGTAAATTGACGATATTTTATCTTCATAATGTGTGATTATCCATTGCATTATTTGGAAAGCAATATAGCTATTTTAGAAATGTTAAAATGTACTTACGATCATTCTTAGCGACTGGACTGGACACTGCACTGTCCTTACTGGGTGACCCCTCAGGTTTATCTGCACTGCCCAAACTAGCGCTTAATATGTTTTGTCGCTCTTTTTTACGCTGTTCAAGTTTCTCCCGCAACCTATTACGCTTGCTTTTGACGGCTTGGATCTCTTCCCAAGCGTCTGACATGGTATTTGTTTTTAAGTGCTATAGCTCCATCAAAATAGTCAGAATCAGATATTTGACTGGTAACTTCACTCAGTAGAGAATCTACAACAATAGGCAAACATTTATAAAGTATTGCATAAGTATCAAGCCATTCATACGTCCCACTGCTGAGCACGGGTCTTCATAAGGGCTTTTTGTGAACCTTCTTAGATGTGCAGGTTGCATTATGATGTTTTCCTTCACCAAATATAGCTCTAGAGAATAGCTCATGATAATTTCAAATTACATTTCGCACAGAAATTCTGAAACCTCAGAGGTTTGGATTGGACCTGGATTCTAACCCACACCTCTGCTTGAGAGGCGGTGTGTATAAACCATTAGGCTGCCATGGCTAATTAAATAAACAAATACCTGCCTCTGTGGCAGAACGGTTACCATGTTGGGTTCCCGGACCGGTAGAAATATTTGTATGGCCTACATTTATTTCTCTCGTGAGTTTGGGTGTAATTTGTGGTTGTCTATGTGTGTGTCCACGGCACCCGCGACACAGGGTTTCCCTAATGTTGCTATGTTGAGTGTGCGTTATTATTATTAAATTGTTAATTTTAATAAATTTTCATAAGACACACAAAGGCGAGTGGACTAACGCTAGAAAGAATTTGATATTAGAGGATAATAAAGAGGAGAAATAATACGGCTGTAATAAAAAAATTGGTGCATAAGAGTACCAGACACACTTACAGAGAGTTGTCTTGAACACGATCTTCACAAGGAGTACTGGAGTACATATGTGAGCTAGGCTCTGACACAGTTAAAAAACTTTGAAAAGACCGGCAGTACTAACTTCGAGAATTTATGTTCTAACATCAATTAAATTGCTTACTTTAGTGCATTTAATATTTGTTTGATTGTAAAGTAACAGTTCTGTGTATTCATCAAATTAAGATAATGGTATAATTAAATAATAAATAACACAAGCCTGCTCGTACATTGAAACACCTAAAAAATGTATCCAGGAATTTGTGACATTATTTTTTTTTTCACTATCGCTAATAGTGGTCCGATACATGGGGAATTGCGATACATAAAACAGATAAAGAATTTTTAAAAATCTAATCAAAAAAACTCTAAAACATAATTTATCAACAAATAAATGAAATTGAAAATTATTTCAACCAATTTGACGAAAAAAGACATATTGGCGACGATCGCAAATTATTTTTTTTATAAAACTGACACTGGCACAAGCTAGCAGCAAGCTAAGTGGACGCCTTTAAGCAAAAAATATAATAAATGATAAAAGTCATCATTATCACATATTTTACATACAAAACGTGTACATTAGCTATACAATGTGTATTTTTGCGCCCGAGCTGCGAACACATAGTCAAAAAGTATGCTCACTGTACAAGGCTGCGATGAGAAACATTGAAGCCTATGAAGTCGGAAGGTTTGTTTGTAAACAGCAACGATATAATGTACTTAGTTTGTAATGCATTTGAAAATGCTTGGGCCTTAAGCCCACTTCCCAGGCATTGTGAGATTATGACTGTTTTATATCGATACAATGGCATTAACTGGTATTAGTGCCATGGGCATGCCTAATTTTATAGTATAATTGCTCTTTTAATCTAGTAGTGTATTTTTTCTTTTCGTGGTGAAATCCTCCTAGGATACCTCTCCGCTACCCTCACGGCGCCGGACTTCTACCGACTAAAACCTCACGGTGGCCTTCTCGAGTGGTAGTAATTAGAGATGGTTACTAAAATATATAGCTCAAATTATAACGTTCAATTAAAAAATAATTATAGCAATTATAATTTGAAAGACATAAAGGTGCTAAAATTGTAACGAACTTTTTTCACTTTGGATTGGTGTATGTTAAGAACATTAAACCAAATGCCGTCTAGCGACATAATTTTACAATATTTCAATGCCATACAATCAATCTATCTGTGCTTTACCTACGCAGCTAACAAACAAAATCCTTCTTCGTCCTGAGTTATCTCCCTTAATATTTTATAAATGGCACCATATTCTATGTGAAAATTGCAACTCATTCATTCTCAAGTCATTGGTTGAAACAATTATAAGGTGAAATACTTTCACATATTATTTGTAACGTTTGGTGCGAAACGCGAAATAGCTGATTGGTTTATTGATGTTAAATTTCACGTTTGAAAACGCTAAGCCCTAATGCTGTATTTAGCACTTAGTACTTAGCTACGTTACTATTTTGGTTACGTTTTAATACGATTTTCAGCGAATGGTGGAACGTTAGCAAAATTTCGTCTGGTGAAGCGATTTAAATTAAGATATAATTAAGTACTTGGATTTATTTATTTAGTTAGTTTAGCGTTTGTTTAATTAATAAGTCGTTGTAATATTTATATATAAAAGTACGAGTCTGTGCGTTATTATTAATTATTATGAGTGTAATTTACTGTAAATAACCAGTGCAAAGTTTTGTGCAAATTGTAAATACTAAATTGTTAAAGTATGAAGGGAAGCTCATTGATTTATCGTCTATAATCGGTAACCACAATATTATGTAATAGTTACAAAACAAATGAAGTCGGTCGTAACTAACCATAAAAAACTGTAAACTATTCTATAGGTAGACCTTATACTTAACAAGTTAGCGCACGTCAACTATTTCACGTTTCTTTGCATTCGTTACATGCTGCTAAAAATTATAATTTTAGCACTTTAAATAGCGCGCTATAATAATTTAGAATTTAGCGTGCTATGCGAATATAGCAGTTAATCTCATCTCTAGTAGGTAGTGATCCCGGATCGACTTTGTGCACCGGCACCCCCCAGCATATAGGAGGAGCTACGTCCTCCGCCTCACCTCCTCACGACGAAGCGGGCCACACCGCCACGTTGTCCTCCTCACGGCTGCCAAACTTACTGGCAAACGAAGCTTCCACTCCGACTGCCTCATGGGACTCTTGGTTCACCAGCATAGCCGCTAACTTCGCGCCAGCCTTGGATTGACATGAAAAGTGTTTACACGATAATGTCAGTCACTTTGCATCAATGTAAATCAGACTTTATGCTAAATCTTGGACTGACTATCATGTCGACTATTAATTTAGTAAGTAATATAAAAAAATCCTTCAAATGAGTTGTATTTTAAATAATTTTCCACGTTCTAGGTTTGTAGTGCGATACCATCAAGTGCTATTACGAGCTCGCTTCGATGAAAAGAAATGTGTTAGTGATCCAATAGAACAGCGCCGCTTGCTATGGTTGGGACAAGAAGAACTATTCAGAACTAAACATCCAATTCCATGCATGAAATGTAAGTGTGTTTACGCTGTTTCTGATATCGCTTCAAGCAATGTATTTCTTGAATAGGTGTCTATATCGCTGAGCATTAGCTGCTGTAAGATATGTAACTAGGTAGATAAAGCAAATAAATTTAGATACGTACCTACTATGTCGAAAGCTATTTATTTCTTCCAATTCCTTTCACAAACAACCAACAGAAAAAGGAGTTTAGGGTCGTACTCCAGAACTCTACTCAATGCTCAAGTCAGGATTTGAGTATGATTTCAAGCACTGGAAATACGACCCCAACGGCAAGGACTTGAGTATGATTTCTAATGCTTTAAATCATACTCAAGTCCTGACTTGAGCATTAAGTAGAGTTCTGGAATACGACCCTTAGGGTCGTATTCTAGAACTCAATTTCTCAAATTCAATTTCAATGCTCAAGTCAGGATTGCACTGGAAACACAAGCACTGGAAATAGGACCCTAACAGCAAGGGACTTGAGTATGATATCAAGTGCTTTAAACCATACTCAAATCCTGACTTGAGCATTGAGTAGAGTTCTAGAATACGATCCTCAATCTTGTGACCTATTTTGAAATCTATATTTTAAATGTTAAGGGATTTCTTTTGCAAAATGGCGACAACTAGCTCGCAATAATACAAACAAAAACGTCGAATGCTAGGAAGCACTGGATAACGCTACATAATCAGAATTCGTTTTATAGAAATAGAAAATGTTGTTACCGGTCGATTTTTCTCATTAGACGGGTTTTTGTTTTATTTGCCATCTTATCTCCATCACTTGTCGTGTATCGCGTTGCTAGGTGTTGTATGTATGTTGTATAAAAGGTAGTATGTACGAGTAGTGTTACGTCGAAACAACAAATGAACTTTTTTGTTTTTCTGTTATAATATGTTTCTGGAACAAATTTATTTAGAGCTTATTTTATTATATTATTTTATTAGAGCAAATTTATTTACCTTAGAGCTTAGAGGATTGAAGGCGTCATCGATAGGCATTCCCCCTGTTCAGGTAAAGTAAAAAAATACCATCGTACAATAAACACTACTTTCGAATGAATGTTTTTTCATTCAGTATGTCGTCTTGCGCCATACAAACTTGCAAAAAAAATCTCTGCTGCATCCAGTCTAGCCTATCCAAGGATGGAATTACATTCCATACATAAGCTTATTATTTACATTAATTAGGTACCAGTTTTCTATTTTAATATATTTTTTTCATAATGATCACATTGATTGAATTTATCCATTACTTATTTAGAAAGTATTTGAAAACATTCGAATATTGACATAAACATGCTTATGAAGTTCCTTATTTACTGACAGCATAAATTCATACCAGAGCTTTCTCCTTTCATTATTTTTCAGTTCCATACTCCTATGGGCTTGCCGCTGGCGTGGCCGCGGAACGTGTTGTGACGCCGCCTGATTGGGTGTTGGATTACTGGCATCCTTTAGAGAAGGCAACGCATCCAGTTTACTTCAAAAAACGTGAACAAAGGAAGTGTGACTATCTTAGGCTATGGTATGCCGACCAACTGCGATAAATGGAATCGTGGCAAAACGAATAATAACTATAAAATTACGGTTAATTTAAAAGTATGTGTGTATGCTTAGAATAATAACGTGTGTATGTGTATCCGATTTTAGTTATGTCAGTTTGAGATTACGTTATTTATTTAATTTTTGTTCTTGGTTTGGAGGTTAGAAAACGTCGTACGATATAAATTTATCTAATTCAAAATATCTTAATTTTTTCTAATATTACTGTTTCGAAGTACATAAAAGTGTACAATAAAGTGACAATGGCGGACGCTCCACTTGAAGTTTCCAAGGAGAAAAAAGCACCTATGACTAATGAAGAACGAGTTGCACTAAGTCAGAAGTTAGACCAGGACTTAGATGATTTTATAAACAGCATGGAGAGAAAAAAATACACTGATGGCTGGTCGGAAGATACGTGGGAGGTAAAATTTATAAGTTATTTCATCTACTGAACAGATTTCAGATTACTGTAAAATTTCATTGCTTTTCTATCACAAAAAAATTAAACTTATCTGTACTTCCCAAACAAACATAGATCATCCCAATAATCAAAAGTAACTTTAGGAATACACATTGAAATTTGGTTTTTATGAAGATCAATTCAATATTAAGGTAAATAGAATCATCTAAACTCTAGCCAAATTCGATGTAGAATAAATGTCAACAAACAAAAACACATGATTTTTAGGGTTTTCATCTTAGACTGTTTCACAGTTACCACAATTTCAATATTTTCCCTCGAAATTCAACTAGATTATGGATAATACTAAATCTTGAAGTGTTGTTTATAATGAATATTATTCAACAGAAGTTTCAAATCACCTAAAATGAACTAAAAAATGAGCAGTTATTAATTATATGTAAAACTGTGTCATCCCTTGTGACTTTTTGATTTGAAGGGAGAGATTGCAAACATTCGAGTTCTGGTGGTAATTCAAATTTAGAATTGGAAATACCTAGATGCTGGATGATATAATATGTGGTAAATTGATATAAATTAAAATCTTACAATTTTGTTTCTTTTCATCTACCATTATCTAGCTGTACATATTAATAGGATGCAAACACTTATTTTTATTCTTAAATCATATGTATCAGTAGGTAATTTGTAAATTTTATAATAATTGTCTAGGTAAGTATTACTTCTACATAACTCAATTACCTACTTACCTATTTAAATTCCAATTAAGGAGCAGGCCGTGGGCAGCGCAAGCCTTAATAATGAGCATTGAAAAAAATGTTCTTTTCCTATGCCATCATTGGTTGCTTAGTAACGTTTTGTTATTAAACATTCTACATCGAATTTGGCTAGAGTATAGATAGTGTTCATAATTTAAACAAAACAGTCCCTTTCTGTATTGTTTTAGTACTTTTTGACAAGTATTGTATCGTTTTAAATAATTCGTACTTAGGACACCTCATATCATGCCGCAAGCCACCTTGATTTTTTTTTTAAATGGGACAATAAGGGAAAATCCAAAACCATTGAAAATACAAGGAACCTGTCTTAGGAACCATTAAGTCTTTTTGTGTGAAAATAGTTTCGGCGTATTGTATTTTTTGGTCAAGCGTATGTTCTCCATAAAAATGAATAAAATTGATCAAAACTTTTTTCATGCTGATTCATTCAGTTTTATGTAAGCATCATTTCATTGTATGGTATGAAAAAAATCAGGACAGCAGAAGTTGTAAGAAGAAGTAAAATTTCATAAAATGTTTTTCATACAAAATGTATAAAATTTACTAATTTTTTTTAATGCTGATACTGCTTCTTGTAACGATGATTTCATTGCATTGTATGGGACGAAAAAAGTCGGGACAGCAGAAGTTGGTAAAATTTCATGAAATGTTTTTCATACAATATATAAATTTACTAAAATTTACAATTTTTTTGTAATGCTGATACTGCTTCTTGTCAGAATGATTTCATTGTATGGGACAAAAAATTGGGGCAGCAGAAGTTGATCAAATGTAATAAAATGATTATATGAAATATAGTATAATATTTATATGAAATATAATAAATATAATATTTATATGAAATGAATAAAATTGACATTTTTTTTAACAGTAGAGCCTCAGTTTCTTATAAGAATGATTTTATTGTATTGGTATTGTAACTTAATAAATGTTATTCGTTTTGTATGAACATTTTTTTATTATATCTCTCGTAAGGAAATAGGTTCTTTGGAATATTGGTTAATGTTTTTTTCATAATAATATTACATTACACAACATTTTCAATGCTGTATTTTATTGCATATAACTATTAGCCCCACCTGCCATCTGTATAACTCTAATGTTTGGTTTACATGCATTATTGCACGTGTACATGTGGGTCCTTTCAATAGTGTGCTGTATCCACCAATGTTATTGCATTTCATATGTCAATCATGACTTGAAACCCAGTTTCAAGTTACACAATTAGTACGCAACTGTATCACAAAATTAAGTTATTATTACTCACAGGTCATTAATAATAATTGAATATTTGTAAAAGAAGTAAAGAAAGTATATATTATTACAGGAAGAAATGGATAAGCATCCATTCTTTATGAAGTCCACACCTGATGGTGAGATGTCTCCGCTTGCTGAGGGTCTGGCAAAGCTCAAATATGACCCAGAAGAGAACACTCCTTTAGAACTAGCCACTAATTACAAGGAAGATGGAAATTTCAATTTCAAGCATAAGAACTACAGACTAGCCATTTTAGGGTAAGAATATTTGGTTACCTAATTTGCCCTCCTTGTTGTGACTAACTCAATTGCATTATGGCACCTGAAGCTCTTTGTTTTCTTTGAAAAATGTCAATTACGATTATTTTAACAATAAAACTAGAACTAAATGAGATACCAATATCGTGTATATAATCAGAAATAGAGACGAAATAAATAAAACGAAAAGAAATAAAACTGAATACCTGAAAATAACACTTACCTATTCCGAAGTTATGTAATGTCGGTCGATATCATGTCGTCATAATCATGTCGGTACGACATGATATAACTACGGAATAAGTGTTATTTTGAGGTATTCAGTTTATAGTAGACACGATCGCCGATAATAGACGAAGGGGCGGCGCGCCGACAAAAAAATATCGGCGGCGCGAGCGCGACCTTAAAACGAATTTGTATATCGGTGTTTGTTTTTACAAAAACCGTATACAAATGCTTTTTCAAAGGAAAAAATAAAATAACGTATTTTCTATAGTAATCCATTTTTTATCAGTTCGATCAGGCGCTCCGATCGTACGCACGCGCCTGCTTCCATATTGTGTATGCGTAGTGAAAATGGCGACGCCAGAAATTGACGTAACGTTCGATTCGAGTGGTCTTAGAAGGCTACTCTTCCGAACATATGGCGATAGATTCCTCAGGGTTCTGTACTGTCTGCAACTCTCTTTCTGCTGCATATCAATGATAATGTTAATTCCAGGTACCTTTGCGTATGCTGATGATAACACAGTTGTAGATAGGTACTTGAGCAATGCAAGGGTCAGTGGAGAGGAAATCCAGTCTTGGCGAGAGACCATAGTTCGCAGTTTGGATTTGACACTCAAAGCAGTCTCCGATTGGGGCGATGCCAAATTTAACGTTACCAAAACGAAGACGTATTTATTCTTCACAAAACGGAGTCCCTTTGAGCTGCCTCCGACTTTTCGTTATATACCGATAGCCGACTGTCTCCAGCTACTTGGAATGAACCTATCGTCCAATTTGTACTTCGGCAGATACATTGAATCCACGGCCAAACGTGCAGCAAGGAAGCGTGGGATCCTTTCCAGGGTGAAGCGTTACTTCACACGGGGACAAGCACCATATCTTTCTACTTTAGTTTTGATTATAGTGACCTTCCCTACCTACCCTTAGGGCACACGAGAAGGACTCTGTAACCTGTGCGCACACAGGAACCTTACAAGTTCAGACTCTCACCCCAGATCAGCTAGTGTACAGGGTTCTCATAGATCTCTGTCACTTGACATCATCCGGTTCTTCAAGAGGCTAGTGCCTTGGGTGTACCGCCCCGGGTGCACGTACAGTACCCTTCCTATTTTTCAGATGGGTACCGGACCTGTAGGCACGCTCACTTCCCGTTGCGCATTGCACAACTAGCAGTTGCCACCGCTAAGCCGTCGATTCTGAGTCTCGCTTCACACGCTCACTTCCCGACGCCGAAAAACGACGTCTCTCCAGTTCCCAATAACCTAAGCGGCTGGAGGGACCGGAGGATATCTAGCTTATCCTCTACTAGCTACTAGATGCCAGTCGCAGTGTCCTTCGACAATGTCCGGACATAGCTTCCAACTTAAAGGGCAACTCACGTGTCAACTCACTCACGTCTTCTCGCATACAGGGCCTCAACTAGAGCGCTACTAAGACGCGCTAGCTGCTCACGAGCCAGACGCCCCGGGCACATGCAAAACCGGGGCAGACAAACATGTCCGTCTCTGTAGCTAACCTCAAACCCCAGCGAGTCCATACCCAAGCCCGGGTCCGCCAAAGACGCCCGCAAAGGCGTATCACTGGCGGAGGGCTTGGCCCGCCGGCTGTACCCTGGTTTTGCCATCGAGCACGTAGTCTCTCGGGAAAACCCTATCTTTCGGGTCGGTGGATAGGGTCATCTCGGGTCGGTAGATAGGGACATCTCGGGTCGGTAGATAGGGATAGTTGCTTCAGCTGTACTAAGCACAAGTCCGGTCGTGCATGGAGTACTGTTACTACCTTTTAGGATGGCTCTGTTACATACCAACTGGCCACCTTTTATTCAATTGACAACCGTGCCAAGAAGCTTATAGGTGGCTCGGAATTAGTGGAGGCGAAGCATCCAGAACCTTAAACATCGCCGTAAAGTTGCCAGCTTATCGGTATTTTACAGGATATATCACGGAGAGTGTGCGATGGAATTACACGATTTAATTCCACTTTCCCCTTTCTATCACCGGGGGACTAGGCGTAGACTTGGGTTCCACCCGTTCTATGTTGTGGATATTCCAAAGATTCGCACGAAGCGTTACGCTTCCACATTTATATGGCGAACGGCTAAGGTGTGCAATTCCCTGCCTGCAGACTTGTTCCCTGAACGTTATAACTTGGGCCTTTTCATGGCAAAAGTGAAGAGGCATTCATCTATCGTTGACGAGTGACGATAAGCGTCACTTTCCATCAGGTGAGATGGAGGTCAAATACGAACTTATTTTTATAAATAAAAAGTTTTATCTTAGAAAAGTCATTTTCTGGCGTCGTCATTTTCACATACACAATACGGAAGCGTGCACGTGCGTAGTTTATAGTATTTATCGAGGACATTGTAGGAGTATGATTGTAGACTATAGAAAAAAGAAAATATAGAGGAATTAATCGGGTATATAACCAGAAATAGAGACGAACTATAAAGGCCATCCCCCTCTAGCTACTTATCATGCAAATGGGCCTTATATCACTTATTATCAACTCTCGTTTGCACTGAAATCACAAATTAGAAAGCTGAAATAGTACAGCGCCAACACTGACCTGTGTGTATGTCTCCGAATATTCCAAAAATATTCGGTATTTATTGTAATAAAGATAATATTTCTAACCTGTTCCATTCGGTGGTGGGGGAAAAACAGAAAACATCTAAATACAAAACAAACAGAATCACATTTAATAGGTAATTAAAATTATTGAATATTATGTAATTTCTCAATTTTCGTCCATTATAGCAAAGCTCAAGTTAAACTGGTCGTTTTTAAGTGAAACAATTGATAAACCTGTCAATTGTTCGAATTCGGGCTGGCCGTTCGGAGCGCAGTTGACACCGTAATGATATGGCAGAATCTTAGAGGATGGAATTCCATAGTTTAAAGGCAGAATAGTTTTCGAACAAATTAAATGACATTTGGTCTCTATTTCTGGTTATATAATCGATGGATACAAAGAACCTATTACACTTGTGGCACTGAAACTGTTATTTATTGACAGGCATGTAGCTTATCCTGTCATTTGATGTTATAAAATAAAAAATATGATGAGGCAATAATTGTTTACTTCTTTTATTCTTTTTACTTGTACTTCTAAATTCAGGTTCATTATGAGTTAATGCCAAAACATGAAGAGCGCATTCACATCATTTCTATCTATTTATCAACTTTTGTTCTGCAACTATTGACAATTAAACACAGAGTGTTTACAAGTTTAGTAGGCGAGGAAAAATTTTTTTGACAGATTTTATAAAGAGTTAAAAACATAATTGATAGGTATGTTATTAATTGCAGAATAAAGTTCTTGAAGTTTTGTGTAAACATTACAATGTAGTCGGTGAAGTGAATAGTTAAGAGTGTAAACTCGGTAGGGTTATATATAAACAGCTTTGAACATTAGGGATGGCTTTAATTGTCTCTAATGCTTCTGTATATTATGTATTACCAACTCTAAAATTTCTGATTTAAGTCTATATTATATTTATATTATTAAGTCTATAATATTCCACAGGTACACAGAAGGTATTAAACAGAAATGCAATGATTCTGAAATAAACGCCAGCTTGTACAATAACAGAGCAGCAGCTCATTGGCAATTAAAAAACTATCGGTCAGCCTTATATGATAGCGAGAAGGCTTTATCTTTCAACCCGGACCATGCTAAAGCAAGATTGCGAGCTATAAAAGCAGCTACAGAAATTGCTAAATATGACACATGCATTCAACATTGTGAAAAGTTACTAGAAAGTCAACCTAACAATAAGGAAATTATAGATCTATTAAATAGTGCGAAAAAGAAAAAAGTTATGCAACAACGTGACCAAAGAAAGAAAGATCGTACAAATGAAAAGGCTGAGGAGCAAAGAGATGCGGTCATTAAAGCTATAAAAGACCGTAAGATAAGGGTTCGGAAATGCGATGAGGAGAACGACATTGATCTGTCTAAACTAGACCCAAACTTGCCAGGAGCGGCCGATGCTGTTGTCCATATCAAAGATGGATTATTATGTTGGTCGGTATTGTTTTTATATCCAGAGTATCAGACGACTGATCTTGTTAAAGGATGTCCCGAAAATGTGCCATTGATGAGTCAGTTAGAGCAAGTGTTACCTGCGCCATGGGATAGAGAGAATAAATACAGATGTGACACTGTAAATGTTTATTACGAAGGCTACGATCAATTGCCTCATCTTGTTGATCTAAATATGAAATTGGGAGATATACTGGTGTCAGAATGTTACGAATTGAAAGCAGGGACTCTGCCCTTTGTTGTTGTGCCACGTGGAAGTCCAAGCGAAAGAAGATTTTTAGGCAGTTACACTAAACTCGACAAATAAATTTCGCCAATAAATTTTGCTGAATTTAACCGTTTTTAAAATATCTTCATAATGCTGAATTATACCTATATCCAATAATAATAATAATAGACACCTGATTGCATGTGTTGGCAGCGATACATAAATCTTTTAATGGTTTTATTCGCGGTTTTGTTACTTTTTGTAAACTTTTTCTTGTGAATAAAACAAAATAAAAAAACCGTCAACCGTGACCATGGGACCTGTAAAGGGTCCGAAAAGTCGGTTTGTTTGAAAAAACAAATATACAATACGTGATTTAAATCCGGAAAAATAGTTTCATTTCCTAAAATAAAAAAAATTAAAAATAGATATTTTCTAATACAAACCTTTCATATACCGGGTGGAACAGAACGACCGACAAAGCGGAAAACTGTGAAGAGTCTTAAATATGTATTTAATTGTACTGAAAGTCTTTTTGCTCTAAGTGTAATAGTTTCCGAGTTATTCAATGATAAAGATTTGCTTGAAAAGTCTGTATTGTCAACCCTACATCTTAAAACACAGCTGTTTGGAGGCAACTATCGGGAGGTACTCAGGGCAAAAACTTTGCAATTTAGTAGATCGTTGACCTCCGTCGTTGATCAGCACCCCATCAGTCGCTTTCTTTGATCAACCACTTTCTTTGATCAGTCATCATGTGAATGTTGATTAATTACGCGGGTATTTTATTGTATTACTTTGAGAGTAAATAACACACCTAAATTGCGTGTTTGACGACCCAATATTTACATTTACCGAAAAAATGCACCTCTCATAGAATCTTCGGGAAACAGGTTGTTTCTAAACCTTTGTAGGTAGTTTATGACAACGCATAGTTGACAGGGTCATTTAGACTTCACTTTTCTTAAGCTGTTGTCAACTTAAGAAAAGTGAAGTTTTCTAAATGACCCTATCAGGAGTTTAACTCTTATTGCCTGCGTCATAAGATAAGACTAACTTAAATAAACATAACTAAATTAAGTAAACACGTTCTACAACATGCGTCAAGTACTCAAATTACAATAGTCGTACACGTAAACCCTTAATCCGGCCCTAACGTAAAATAGTAAATTGAGGCAGCCAATCACGTCACTTATAACCGCTTAGAAATTTAGAGATGGACACTTGATAACTGTTATCTGTTTTTGCTAGCATAATCGGGAGATCGTTTTTTTTTGTAATAGTCTATTTATGAATGCATTTGGAAATAGTTTTAATTTACACTACAAGAATTTACTAACTTTAAAACGAAGAGTTCATTCTATTGATATCAACATTTAAAACTAAAATTTCTGTTAACTTGAGCTGTGTAGTTGAAATTTTAATAAATGTAATGTAAAAATAAATAAATCGGAGGATAGTAGAGGTCTGCAGACCACCTCCACGTTTCGCTTTCTTATTTTTGATTAAATTTGATTATTTATTACAATTCATTAAACGACCTGCATTTACTTTACTTTTACTTTTGAATTGCTCATGGTACTTATACCAGACAATACGATTATTGCGAAAGTTATTTCTTTATCATAATTGTCTTTTTAAAATTAACATTTAGGTATTTAATAATCAATGATATCCGACGCGTACGCCGCCGCCGCGCGCATCTCTATGCAGAGTTGCCAATTAAGCGACTTCGTCCCTTTATGTGATGATTTGAAATCAAAAGCGTCTTTTATTTCTAGCGACAAAAAAAAAATTGGTATTTTTTGGCGCGTATTTAATTAGGTTTAATCGTTTAGAATTTAATATTATTTTTATCTTAGTATTCAGGAGTCTTTTACCTGTACTGGGACCATTCTGTTTTAGTTCAAAATGCCTGGTTGTATGGTAACTCGTGGTCTCATGTTTTTCTCGTGTTTACAACAAAAAAACAACGTTTACTTGTTAGTTTTTGGGTTGTGACAGCAACTTATTGGAATAATGCCGTTATTAAGTAGTGCTTGTGTTAAGCAAGTAAAATGTATTAGTGTGTTTGCGTGGAAAACCATATCGGCGTATGACCGGCACACCCAGGAATGTGTCTGGGATGTCTGCAAGAGTAAAGGGGACCTGGACAAATCGACCATCCTTTTAATTTAAAGTAAGTTCAATGTTTTTTAATTACCTATTCAAGTGAGAGCACTTATTTCTTCTGTGAGTGGCAATGACACGAACGCCGCCTGTGGGGCAGTAGATGTACTAACACGATTGATTCGCTTAGGGTTGTTGCACCGCGAAAGTTTTAAATCTGGACGAATATTTTTCAACTGCTCTGATTTTACATTTAAAGTAAATAAAACTCATGTATGTTGGGTTCTCAACGTGATATTTTCGGCTTTGTCGGTCGTTCCGTTCCACCCTGTATTTCATATATTTGTAACTGCAAAAAGGTCATTGCTTTTTGTAGGATACCAAATTCAAATTTGTGTAAAGAAGCAAATCCTTATTTCTTTTTTTACCTTACATATCATAGAAGGATACAAGTAATGAAGCTCACATTTTACTAATTTATTTAATATTTTTTCTAAAAAACTGTTTATTAACTAATTTGTATTCCTACGGAATTTCGTCGTCGTCAGTATATTGGTGTGGGAAAAAAGCTCCTGTCTGTCCAGGGTAAACTTTGTCCTCCATCGTTGGGTATGGATAATTTGGGACTGCACCCATCCATTGGGGATACCAGTAAAGTCCCTGAAAGAAAGAAAAGTTGCTGATATAGCATTTGCTGATATAGTTTTCACATTCGTTTTCTACAGCGCAATAGCACCGTCTATTAACAACTGACCAGAGGTTCCAATTAGAGTATATCGTCGATGGTTTGTAGAAAGGGCGATAGCGCCATTTCGAAAAACAATTCAGGAAATAATATTTTAGTTTTTCACGACTGTTTTAAAATATTTACGTCCTGTTTTAAATTCACTTTAAAATTTAAAACCAAAGTTAAATTTTAAAACAGGACGTAAATATTTTAAAACAGTCGTTAGAACCTACAACATGCTCCTTAATAAATTTTTCGAAATGGCGCTTTCGCCTTTTTTACAAAACACCGACTATATACAAAACTGCAAGACTTCTTATATCGTCGGGCATAGTGCAAATCCGCGTATGTAGTATTGGTAAAAAGCGCGTATCTACACCAAGCCAAATTTCACAGGAGAGGGATTTAACTTTATTATCTACTTCATTTCAATGACTACGACTTTCTTTTTTCCACAGTAAGCATTAATTTATGTTGTCTACAAACTGATAACAATAGATTCGCGTAAATCACGCTAATTTGGTTGCTACGACATTTACGCGGATTCGATTTGGCGACTCAATTACCGAAATGGAGACTCATAATCAAATACTAGTTACGCGTAATTGCACTATTCCCGACGATATGAAGTTTATTAAATATCACAATGTTTTACTGCCATGGTATTCAGTATTTTTTTTGTGAAATTACTTCACACTAGTTTGTTATAATTATTAAAACAAAGCTTCGGCTAAATTTGAAAACCTCGTAACGCCGTTTCTGGATGAAATGCCTTTTATACATAGGGCGGACTATAAGTTTCCGAAACTGGCCACTTACATAAACAATATTTAAGAAGTAATTACAACATTTGGAAATGGAACTCTTTGGCTGTAGAATACAGTTTGTTTCATTGCCACTTTGGTTGGTTTCGGCTCATCTCCAAAGACCCATACGCGAGATTGCTGCTTTGTTTTGGGATAGTAACTAACAAATACATGTTTAGTCACCTGTTACTATGTGCCACACCAAATTTGACACCCCTTCGTTGAATCTGGTAAGCATGGCATTGCACCAAGTGACGCGCGTGCAAAGGCCATCTAAGCGGATGATTGCTTCTTTTTTTAATAAAACTGGTCACGTGGCTACTGTTGCTTTGGAGAGTCGTTGTACCGTGAATAGTGATAGGTACACGACCATTTGTTTGCCGGAAGTTATTGACAAACTCCGTAAAAAAAACCGTAAACGCCGTATCTTTACACACGTATCTATGCCAGTTCTCACACGGCCAGACAGACAAATAAAATGTTGACCTTATGAGCCATCCCGCGTACAATCCCGACCTGTCGAAAGTCACCTTGTGATTTTTATTTATTTCCAAAAATTAAGAACCAGTTACGTGGTCAACAATTTTCATCACCTGAAGAGACTGTCGAAGAGTATGAAAAATATGTAATGTAAAATGTAATAGAGGTTGTCACAGATTAGTGGTAAAAATTATTATTATAATTAATATTATAATAATTAAGATAAATGAGTGGTAAAAATTTTGAGAAACAATAAATTCATTTCTGACCATTTAGAGCATTTTTTTCTTATTCATTCCGGAAACTTATAGTGCGCCCCACGTATTTTTCAAGCGTAATATCGGACAATTCAAGCTTATTAGGGGTGTAGCAAGTGGAGGTCCATAGTCTCTGCCTACCCCGGTGGGAGATAGGTGTGATGATATGTATGTATGTATTTACTTATAAAATAAAGGTAGAATCGGATATTATACATTTATAGTTAATTCTAGTAATTCTGTTTTTTGTGCCTATTCAAAAGTTCACATTAATGGAGATTATGAGGTTTTCGTATTGAGCCGACGAAAGTTTGAACAGTAAGAAACATCCTTCGATCGATTTTTGCCCTTTGGATCTTTCAACTGTCGTCTGTTCAATTACGCTGTCTGCGAAAACTTTGAATACCTAGTTAAATAGACTGCGTTAAAGAAAATTTCCAGGGGAAAAGATATGGCACGTATTTAAATGATCATTTTAAATTTTCAAAAGCATCAGGCAGAAAATCGAAACTGTCATCTTTTTTAATGATTGATCCAATTTCTCTGAGAAAAAAAAAATAGATATTTTAATCTGTTCTGAGCTACGCTAAAAATGTTTGATTTGTATAAATTAACTTTGATGGTTTTTTGTTGGGTCTCAAAATTAAGACGAATGAGCATTAAAAATAAAATTTAGATACTTATTTTTCAAACTAATTAAACGTTGGTCATATTTGTATACTAATATTAATTATAATATAATATAATTTGATCTGTAAGGCTAGCATAATAGCGCGCGACTTGCGCGAGAACGACATGAAACGCAAGATACTGCTATTTTCGCATAGAAATTCCATGCTTTATGTCGCTCTCGCCCAAGTCGCATATTGTCGTGCTAGCCCTACTGAAATCATATCGGAAACGTAAGCAAATTGGCTAATGGCACTCGCCGGTCGCTGCCGCGACACGCTCGCGCGGCTCGTGCGGCTCGTGCTGCTTTTTCATATACCAACCTAATCTAACCTACTGAATGGAGGGCGCAACCAAGTAACCAACATTTATTACGAGATCAATCAAAAGATACTGGTTAAAAATGTCATCAATCGTTAAAAGAAATGACCAATATTAAAAAAAGAGAGTCAAATATTATTTTTGAATACCAAATTTAATATAGTACGCTTAAACATATTAATAGAGTTGCCTTGAATGGAGTTCATTTATAATTTACCCGTAGATCAATTAGTATAATAGATGGATCAATTAAAATATTTATATATATATATATATATATATATATATAATTGATCAATAATTAATTGATCTGAATAAATACAAAAATATCGTTTATTTAAAAAAGTGCACATTTACAATAGACCAATTATATCTTTGAGGATCCAATAATATTATCCCAAAACATATTATTGGTATTTTACAAATACATTACCTTAGGTCCCTCCGCTGTATTGCAAGTGAATCTATCGTTGTGTATTTCCAAAGGATCCAAGTAGCTCTTGCCTGCGATTGACCCATAGTTCGGCGCATACAAGTATAGACACCCCTTCATGGTATCTAAGAATATTAGTTTTATATGAGATTGCTACGTTAGTCATACTTTCGACTGATAAGCAGACTATATAATAATAAAGGACGTCGGTGCTTTGTAGAAAGGATAAAAGCCCCATTTGGAAAAACAAATTAAGGGAGCTAGTTTAACGATTGTTTTAAAATATTTACGTCCTATTGAGGTGGTTGTCGCGATTGTTACACATAGGAAATGAAACTATTTTTCGGGATTTAAATCGCGTATATTTGTTATTTCAAACCAACATTTTGGGCCCTTTACAGGTCCCATTTACAGGGCAACCGTGACCATGAGACCTGTAAAGGCCCCGAATGTTGGTTTGTTTGAAAAAAAAAAACAAATATATCCGGAAAAATAGTTTCATTTCCTGTTTACTTTGTTTTAAAATTTAAATTTAAATAAGTTTAAAAGAGTTTTTTATATATAAATTATGTGCAAAGTTAGATATTCTTTAATAATTTGTTTTAGACTTTTAAGTCTGTTCTCAGGATTGTATATGATCGAGTAAAATACATCCTATTGTCTAATAAATTAGCCTTAGGTGTACCGTATATTTTTTGTAGGACCGTTATTTAATAGTAAATACCTAAAATTTTTGTACTAGCAAAACAGTTTTTCCAGCGTCTTCTACAGTGGCACGTCTTAATTCATATGTAAACATTGAAGTGAAAAACTCACATGGTACGGTAATGTTGTCGTTATCGTCATCGTCTGGTTTTGGAGTCGGCTCAATGTAAGGCGGAACCCCATCCAAGCCTGTACCCGGGTCACCAGGGATCAAGAAAGGTCCTTGGAATTGGAAAAAGTATGTAATAAGTAAGTAGTTCTAGACTAGTGCTTACGGTAGATTTTTCTTCTTTATGAATCTTTCAACTTATCTCAGTAGAGCACAGATGTCCTCTCTTTTTATGACTCCAAGAGACGGGATGAACATGTCGTGCGCCTACGGTCAATGTGCGCCTAGTATTAGGCGCTCCGCAGGTGGAGCAACTTTAGTTGACGCAACTGGCAACTTTTTACAAGTTTCCATTAACGGATGCCGGTTGTAGCAACTAAGAGGCCTAGTTGCCGGTTGCCACAATTTTAAATAAACTTTCGAAATCTACGGTCAAGACTGACGCTGCAGGGGACAGGGAGGGACTGAAGTTGCTTCATGAGTTGCTGTTGCCGGTTGCGGAAACTGGAGACGACCGGTAAAAAATTTGCAAGTTTCTAGTTGCGGCAATTAAGAATTTATTTAATCATGGATTTCGGCAATCGAAAACTGTAGTCGATTGCCGAAACTCTCAACTGAAGTTGCTACGTCTGCGCGGGTTCTTAAAATTATATGAAAAACGTCTGCGGGTTGCCAGTTGCCGAAACTTGATGATCAAATTTGCTCCATCTGCGCAGCGCCTTGGGCGACACACCTGTCCATGGCAGTTGCAATGCCACCCAGAGTTTTAAATCGCAAAGATCTGAGGGGCACTGCCACTGCGGCCGTCACCCTGAGACATAAGTTAACAAGTCCCATTGTGTCTGTAATTTCACCAGTCTCGGAAAAATCAGCCAATAATACCTCCGTAAAGGTTAGTGTAGTTCCACTCGCAAACGTGGTGGTTGCAGACCAGGGGAGTGCTCTTTTCTTTCGTGTAGTACGTTGCTCCGTTGGGCACTGTCTGTAAAGTATTAACTTTATACATAGATATTTGTGTGGTTATGCTAAGTATATTTTAAAAAATCTGGTGATTTAAATCCAGAGTCTGCCTACTCATTAGAGTATGTCTGTGCCTTAGGGCGCGTTCCCATTATGTCGTGACGTTTTATTTATCGTCGTATCGATGGCTTGTAAACATTAATTCACTACCTGACTTGGATATTTAAAAATCTGTAAGATCACAGGTCAAATGTGTCGTAGTCAAAATCTTAAACCATTTTCATTATTCATTTTTCCATCTGAATACAAATTTTTCAACCTAATTACACATGACTTACCAGTAAGAAATCGTGATGTCGATATCTCAGACCTTGTATATTGAAATCCAGGATAAAGGATCCAGACGTGATGATGCAGGAGGCCGCCGTGAGGGGCGGTAGTTTGTACATTACCAACCCACATTTCACGATCGCTTTAGGAAGTGTGGAGATGTCGCGGTCTCGCTGGAGAATCTTCTTGAATGGAAACCTGAATAATTTTATCCATATCGAGTTCTTAGCTCTTGACAATTTTTTTTATTTAAATTATTTATTTTATGAAATCGTAAGTTAAATAATTGGAATATGTTTTCTTGCTACATTAAAAATAAGAGAGAGTTTTCAAAATGGCCACTGTGAAGGTATAACGATTTCCCGCCATGAAACGTCAGAAAATTTAATTATTGAAAAATATTTTAAAGCAGTCGTTAAAACCTTAAACATTCTCCATTCAAAAAATTTTCAAAATAGCGTTTTCTACAAAATACCGATGATATGTTTTCTATACGATGCTACATTTTGAAATTATGTCGATGCGTTATAGATTCTTACTTACCGAAATATACATACACCGATATGACACTCTAAGCCGTGTAAGTAATTGTCAGTCGGGAAGCTAATACTGGGATCGTCAATTAAGTAATATTTATTTTCGTCGTGAAAGTGCAAAAAGCCGAGGAAGACAAACGAACGATCTTTGCAGTAGGGAGCCGGGCCTCTTCCCATATTGTATATGTCCGAGTAGAGCTCCGAGAGAAATATGTACACGTTTTTGCCACAATAGAATTCTGAAACAGAATAGAAAGCAGGGAACAGGATTAACCCGTACCTGAACAGTAACGGCGTTTGACATAATGGCCCAATTACACGGAGCCAATTGACGAGCCATTCCAAAAAGCATTTGAAAAATATGTATCGTATCAACCGTGTTCTATTTAGTTGTTGATATTAAAAAAAAATCATTGATATTAATATATTACTTATAGTACCTATTGATATACAGCGGTTTTCTTGTAAAATTTCGAGGTAAGTTTGTGTTTTTTTTTCTATCAGGAATCCTGTTTTCACACGTACAGTAATCAGTATATATCTTCAATTTTACTTTAAATTTTATTCCCAAGTGATTGATTCAACACTCACTGTAATGCGGAATCAACCAAAGCCATTTGAAGTAGATAGACCTTAAGCCGGTCTAGTGAAAAGTGCGAAATTCGCAACGATCATCTACATTACAACCTGTATTACAATAAGTGTCTTTAAGATTCTTTATTAAACGGCGAGGCAAACTAGTGGCGTGGCTCAGTATGCACATTCACATTCACACAGGAGCCAATTCAATGCACTTTTGGTGGGGGAAGGTATTGATCCGAAAAATTAAAAATATAATTCTAATTTAAATTCTAAAAAAAAATTTTAATTCTAATTCTAAACCTAGTTCTAATTTAGTGGAATGTCTATATCACTATTCTGAAGAGAATCCAAAACTGATTATCTCTATTTACACGAAGCCAACAATAATGGCTGGACTACATGGAATGGCTCGTCGATTGACCCCATGTAAACGGTTCTTAAATTAAATTTCAGAATATAATAGTACGGGGTACCCCGTTTCGCTACCTATATGGGTATCAAAAAACCTGCTACGGGATTTACTGTGCGATTTCCAAGTGCTTTCCGTGTAGTTGCCACCTACTGCTTCTTCATAGAGAAGTATCAAGTACAAAATTTTATGAATTACATTGAACATTTTATATCGAGTAAATATACGCACATGGTACAAAGAAAAGAGATAGTGACATTTTTGTGTGCAGTACTATTTGAGTACTAGTCCATGAACGGGTGCTGATAAATGCCTCTAACACGAGTTTACTGAGACAGTTGTCAGTAGCGACCGCGTAAATTACAATTTTCTATTGCAAATTATACAGCGTCTCTAGCGCAGCGGTCACAAGAAGGAACAACATTTTGTATATAAACATTTTACTCGGTCCCTAGCGATAACTGTCACTGTAATCTCATGGTAGAGGCACAGGTGATGCATAGATCTAAAGAAGCGTTTCCCATGTGGTGGTTCGCGATCCAGTACTGAGCCATCAAAATAAAATACCGGGTCGCAACATTCCCGCCATATTGAAGTGGAAGCAGACCTCAGAATAAACCTGTCGTAATTTTCCGCGAACTTGGATTCTTTAGTAAAAAATAAGCAGTAGCTCCATACATAGCACAAAATATTCGATACCAAAATGATATTAGTAAAACATTTTTGCTAACAATGCATGTGTATTATTTTACTTAATGTAACCAGCTTGAGATCAAAAGTATTGAGTGGGTCACGTAGACGCTGTATGAAAATTACCGGGCATGGGAATTTTTTTAAATGCCAGGTACCGTAGCGCCATCTGTGAGAAATGTATTTCTTCACGCAGCCAGATACCTTTAGAGCTACCAGCTGACTGGAGACGTCGCTTTAATAATTGTAATTAAGTCAGATAGACAACATCCTAACATTCAATAAACTTAATATCTAAAGGGATTCTTTTTTGGTAGGTCAATGAATCCATCAATTTTTTTATGGTTCCAAGTAACGGGATGAACAAGTCATGCGCCTGGTATTAAGTGACACGCCTACCTGTCCATAACAATTGCAGTGTCACTCAGAGCTATAAATATCTGACGGGCAGTGCCACTGCGGCCGTCATCCTGAGACGTGTATAGGCACATGTGCCTGTAATTTCACTGGCACCATTCAAAACCGGAACGCAGTAATGCTCGCATTAATTGTTTGTATGTAGGTACATAATTATGTACTTTCCTGAACAAACTCTTTCACAAGGAGCTCTACTGCTACTAAAATTAAATTTGTGGTAACAGTGGAAGCTGGATGAAGTTTCGGTTTCGATTCCCGGTAGCCCCGATTTGGAAATGAATTTTTCTAATTTGGTTCTAGTCTAGATGTTCTGGGTAGTGCCAGTAGATACGTCGGTGTGCATTCCACTGCTTGGTACTCACAGTACGGGGAATTACCTAGTTTGATTTTTTTAAAACAAATGTAAGTGTGCATTTGACCTCCATCTCACCTGGTGGAAAGTGACGATGAGGTTGACGATGGAGCATGCACACCTAAATAATCCCTATTCACTCTCGCCTTGAAAAGGTCCAAGTTATAACGTTCAGGGAACAAGTCTGCAGGCAGGGAATTCCACTCCATAGCCGTTCGCCATATAAATGTGGAAGCGTAACGCTTCGTGCGAATCTTTGGAATATCCACAACACAGGGGTAGAAGCCAAGCCTAGTAGTCCCCCATTGATGGAAAGGAAAACGGAATTAAATCGTGTAATTCCAATGCACACTCTCCGCGATATATCCTGTAAAATACCGATAAGCAGTAAACTTTACGGCGGTGTTCAAGGCTCTGCAGCTTCGCTTCTACCAATTCCGAGTCACCTATAAGCCTCTTGGCACGCTTGCCAATTGAATCCAAGGTGGCCAGTTGGTACGTAGCAGAGCCGTCCTGACAGCAGTACTCCAGTACACGACCGGACTTGTGCATGATACAGCTGAAGCAACTGTCCTGATGTGAAGTAACGCCTCATCCTGGATAGGATGCCAAGCTTCCTGGCTGCATTTTTGCACATGGATTCAATGTATCTGCCGAAGTTCAGATTGGACGACAGGTCCATTCCAAGTAGCTGGAGACGGTCGGCTATCGGTATGGATATATCACGAAAAGTCAGAGTTAGCTCAAAGGACTCCGTTTTGTGGAGAATAGACACGCTTGCGTTTTGGTAACGTTAAATTTGACAAGGTTGGCATCGCCCCAATCGGAGACTGCCTTAAGCATCAAATCTAAACGGCTAACCATGGACTCTCGACAAGACTGAATTTCCTCTCCACTGACGCTTGCATTGATCAAGTACCTATCTACAACTGTGCTGTCATCAGCATATGTAAAGGTAGGTGGAATTAACATATCATTGATATGCAGCAGAAAGAGAGTTGCAGACAGTACGGAACCCTGAGGACCTCTGGTATCTATCGCCATATGTTAGGAACAGTCGCTTTCTAAGACCACACGAATGGAACGTTCACTCACGAAACCCGAGATCCAATTGCAAAGGTCAGTGGGAAGCCCATAAAATGGAAGCTTGCTTAAAAGGCTTGCGTGCCAGACCCTGTCAAAGGCTTTATAAATGTTCAAAGACACTGCAAATGCTTCGCCTTGCTTTTCTATAGCCTCGCTCCATATTCGACAGGCATACACAAGAAGATCTCCAGTAGATCGCCCTCGTTGGAATCCGTACTGGCGATCACTGAGGAGGTCATTGTCTTCAAGGTACGACAGCAGACGGTTATTGGGTACACGTTCCATAGTCATGCAGAGTTTGGAAGTGACTGAGATAGGTCTATAATTCACAGTGTCAGCTCTGCTTCCTTTTTTGGGCACAGCTTGCACGTTTGCAAGCTTCCACAACTTAAAAAATTGCACCAGTCTGAAGTGAGAGGCGATACAGGCGTTTGAGAACAGGAGACAACTCAGGCGCACAGTTTCGTAGGACTACCGCTGAAATTCTATCTGGCCCGCTATGTTTATTCACGTCAAGATTGCTCAGAGTTTTAAGTACCTCTTTTTGGCATATGCGAACTGGCGCCATACTGCAGCCAGCCTGAGGTGAGGTAGGTAGTAGATTCCCTACGGCATCCAGACGCGAACTCTCTGCAAAGAGTGAGGCAAAGAGATTCGCCTTCTCTTCTGCAGTAAAGGGCCAGGGTTGGCGGCTTTATTAAAAGCTTTCTTCAGATTCCGAGTACTCGGAGCTTTGCGCAGCCGAGCATCTGCCCATGCTTGGAAAGCGGACAGCTTTTGTATTTCAGCACGACTGCAGGGAGCGTTAAACCATGGACGAGTTTGGGGTCAATTGGGTACATCGGAGTATGGTATGTAGTACTCCATACCCAAACGCAAGACCTCGACTACAGCATCAGCAGAGCTCGACGAGTCTCCTGAAGTAAAGCAAACTAGCCAAGGATGCGACGCAAAGAAATGGAGCATTTCATCCCAATCTGCTAACCTATATCGCCACAGCCGTCTCATACCACTAAGGTCCTGATCGGGTGGGGAGTATACGGATACAGTTTTCACCAGACAATGGTCGGAAGTACCCAGTGGGGCATCCACAACCACAGAGTAGCGTTCCGGATCAGTTGTCAGCAGAAGGTCCAAGAAATTTAACCGTATTCTCATACGGCTAATTGGAACATCTGGTGCCTGGCGGCGCCACTGACAAGCTGGGATAGGCTTAGCTTTAATGCAAGTTTACGCGTCTTTCTCCCAGCATGATCGGTCATCTGGTATGGGAACAACCATTCTTGATGGTGCGCATCCAAGTCCCCCAGAGTGACTAGTTGCGCCGCTGGGTACCTATGCTGAATCTTATCAGACGTCTCACTCAGATATTGGAACAGCTTGGTTGTCTCCTGATCTCTACTGTGCGATCAGTAGACACACCAGTACGCTATTTGTGTAAGACCTGTGTCTACCAGAAGCCACAAAACAGAAAAATTCGGTGCCTCAAGGTTCTTGAAACGCTTCACACAGATGTCAACACGAACGTACACACATTGATTGATACCAAGAGTGATTGCCTGGCACATTATTATTATTACGGTATTATCTGGTATACCCATACCTGAGCTCTGCAGTGTCAGGACATTCATTTAGGTTAGGTTAGGTTAGAGTTAGGTAGGTAGGAAGAAGCAAATTGACGTACAAAGACTACCAGTTTTTCTGCCCTATGTACAAGGGGTAACAGATAAAATAGCCAGATCGCTAAGGAAGTTTTCCATAAAAACTGTTTTCAACCCCTTAACCAAAATAGGATAAATGTTACGTTCACCAAAAGACCACCTTCCTTTACAAACACCGGGTGTCTATAAAGTGAACTGCAGTTGTGGGAGCTCGTATATCGGTCAGACTAAACGAACAATTGTCGATCGTATGAAGGAACACATCCGAGCAGTAAAAAACTATGATGCACAGAAGTCGGCTATAGCACAACATCTCACACAGACTGACACTAACCACTGGATCGAGTTGCATAGCCCCCAGGTACTCTCGACAGAACGTCACTACATACCACGGTTGGTACGAGAAGCCATCGAGATCACGAAGTACAAAACATTTAACCGTGATGATGGTTTTAAACTGTCCAGTATTATTGCATTAAAAACAAAAACACCTCGAGTTCAGTTTCGCGTGTGGATACAGTGAGTGTGGTTTGTGTGAAAAAGTGAGTGACAATGGTAACGCCACAACAAATCGCGATGAAGGTAGTCGTCGACAGCGCAAGAGGGTAGACAGATATGTCTGCTCTTAAAGCTGTTATCTGCCGCCGTCCAGTCAACCCGTGACCATGGAGCGTGCAACCGTTCCGAAATATCGGGAAAATAAAAAGAAGTCATACCGTGGTAAGAAACCTGATACTAGTGATAATCATTTAGTGAATAACCACGAAAGTCTTAAAATCTATATATTCATTTAGGTTGGTGAAATTAGTCATGAAAAGTGACGTAATAAATTACCTTGGCTCAAATAAAACTCCATAGGAACAGGTCCTCCAGTGTACGTGGACTTGCGTTCAGCAGCTATAGAATTGTGGTTCTCGTACATAGTCAGCATATTGTCCAGAACATCATCCAAGGTTATGAGAAGAACTTTCAGCTCTTGAACGTGTTGGTGCACGAATCTGCTCAGATGATCCGTTGCTATGTGGACGCGCTCGTTTATTATGTACTGGAATATATTAATTTGTGATTTTTGACTCTTCTAAAGGTATCGAAGTCTTTAGGTTTTCGTGATTGTTACACATAGGAAATGAGATTTTTTTTAGGTTCTAAATCGTTTTTTTTTCAAACGTTTTTCAAGTTTATTTGGTTTTTCAAACAAATCAACGTTGCGGGCACTTTACAGGTTCCATGGTCACGGCTGACTCTTCTAAAGGTGTCTACAGATGTGCTCGATTCTTGACGATCGTTATTATCGTTCGATATGGTGTGTTTTGTGGTCAATAGGTTCAATAGGTGCCTACAGATTTGCTAGATTTTGTCGGCTGTCGCCTTTTAGCGATCGATAAATATCGGTTTTTCATCAATTTTTCTAATTTAAATTCCACGGTGTCAAATTTTTTGTCGATTGACATGGTTGCCTTAGGGCGCATTTATTCAACACGAATTTCAACACGCTCACCCCTGCGCGGTCGAAGAGCGGAGTCCGCACTGCCACCGCGCAGCGACCGCGTGCGTCTAACTGTAATGGCAAAATACGCTCTATTTGTTTAGCTTTTACGTTTTAACTTAAATGAGCGTTCCGGGCACGCGCCAGAGGCTGACTTGAATGTGGTCTACGCGGCGGCCCGCGGGGCGACCGCGCGGTAGATTTCTTCAGAGGAATTTAAATGTTTTTGGCTAGTAAATAGAATTCAGATTCGTCATTAATGTAGATGAAGACGTGGTAACTGAGCGGACGCCGCGCGGCGGCCGCGCAAAGATTTTTCCTCATGTAGGGACGCTTTGGGGCGCTTTGTTCCGCCTTTGAGGCAAATTGTTCCGCCTAAATTATGTCAGGATAACAAGGATTTTCTTAAATAAAACCACCTTTTTTATAATTGTATGTATGTAATGTTTATATTATGCACATACAATTAATACAACAAGTAACTTAAAAAAAACAACTATATTCTTTTTCATCAGTAATATTATTCAAACCTCATTTCTTCATCTGAATCACAGTTGAGACACACATAAGTGACTCTATCATCTTGTCTTAATATTTGACATGAGACCTCTCAAATCATTTGAAAGTTTGTAGTTTCGCGTCCTTAAAACAAAGAAAAATGGTCATGAGAATTTTAAGTATGATTACAGGACAATTGGGGAAGTTGTTCCTAGGAACAACCAGCCCCTCGAGGGAGGAACTTATAGCCCCAAATTACGTTTTTATACGAAAACTGACATACCGGCAAAGTAAATTAATAAAAAAAATACCCAAACAATAAGACTCCTTATCTATGTCACTACAATTTAGAAAAGTTACGTATGATATATATCGGCCCATAATAAACAAAGACAGACCAAAAAATATAAACAAGAAAAAATGTACTTACGTGATGTTTTGACAGCTCCACGCACATAGCCACACTTCCGTCGTCGCCGGAGTAACTGAATGGCTGCCGGCAATGCGCATCACCTGACGTTTTAACGACGTGCTTCACATGTATTGCTATATATTTTTCTTGCAAAGTTATTGCTGTGACAACAACTTACCCCGGGAACTACCAGCGCCGGTCTCCCCTAACTGGGCGCTTAGAGGATGGAAAATAATAAATAGTCTAAGTCGACAGCACATTTGCGCTGTTGATCGTCTGTTTCGTAACACATTTAGGCACTCCATTTCGTCTGGTTACACATCTTGATCGATAAATAATTGTAACATTGTTATAAAAAAACCAACCTCAAAATTTCATGAAATCACATATATTTGTCAAGTTTTATTGAAATCGGTTACCGGAAATTGCGCGAAGGCGATAGCGAACCGTAGCGAATAAATTAATCATATTACCTGATCTTCAGCAGTCTTAACCTTCATCATCTCGTTCTGGTAGAGCCATAAGTTATCCAGCTTGTCAGTAGGGTCATGGCCGTAGATCTCGAACGCGTCGATAATCATGGCCAGGGTCAGATTGTCGCTTGGCTCTTGGCAGCATGGGTGGAAGCGGATGTTGTAAGGACACTGAGAACATATTTTTGTTAATGAAAAATGGTAGATTCTCGACCTTTTCATGTTGCTAAAAAGAGTAATAATATTCTTTTATTAAGAAGGGAACTATGCTAACAAAATACTTCTTTACTATTTTAGATTACTGTCAGTCTTTTATAGGGCACCGGAAAAATGATAATCCACAAATTGTCGAAACAATAGTTTTCGGTAAAATGTACATTATGTTAGTACAGTAGTTTTTCGGAATTTTTAATATTTAACTTTCGTTCATTAAGTTCTTTTCGGAGTTTTTATTAATACCCAGAAATAAATATGTCACATACCGTTATCTGTATGCACAAGGCGCATATCGCGAGCAGCACGATTGAGCGCATATAGACGTCCATTTTGCCAGCATGGCGGCGGCCTAAGACGCGAGCGAATATAATTGCCAATTTTTTACAATTTTATTGCAATACATTATATTTTTTCTAGATTATTCGAGATTAGCAATTTTTTATTGGTGATTATTTTTTTATAAAAATACAATAAAAGGTCATAATTGACAGAGCTACGCAAATGGAGGCCATGTTGATTTTTAAGAGACCTCCTTTCTTTTAAACAATGTAAATTATAAAGCTATCGTGGTTAGCTGTTAAACGATTATTTATTCATAACAAGGTTAGAACATTGTAAGAAGCCTGTAAATATTGGTATCATATTACCTCTTAATGTATTTGAGATATACAGACTTGGTGTGCTCAGGGGGAGGCTTATTCCAGCAATTAATGCATAATATGGTGGTGATGATGGTCGTAATTTTAATTTTAATTATGACGTTGATAATATGAAATAAATGATCTTTTTTATTATAACTTATATAAGTATATAAAGGCTTTCTGGATATCCAGAAAGATTTTCCCCGCCCTCCAATTTTAGCGCAAAATTTCACGAGTTGCATTAAGACTGCATTGCTACTGCATAGTAACTTATATGTGTTATGTAAATGTAACATTTAATTAATTGACTTTGATTTAATTTGAGATTTTATTGTAATGTCATTTGTTATGAGCGTTTCGGCGGTTTAGGACCACAATGAGAAATCGCGGCAAAGTCAGAAAAAAGGCATATTATATTGTCCGAAACAAAATTTTAAATTCAATTTTAATAAGTTTCATGGTCGTCCTTTTATTTGAGATGCTTTATATATTATTTAGAAGAAAACAATCCTTATGATTGAGGCTTTTGATCAGTACAGTAAACTTACAGGTGTTTTTTTTCACATTTGGCGGGTTCGATTCCCGGTTCAGACAGGCGATTATTTAAAAAATCTATGAATGCAGTTCAAATTGTTTTTAAAATAAAAATGAAGTCTTCTTCCTGTAAAAGTTTCTATTTACTCCGTGTGGCATAGCCGTGAGACGGCCTGTACTATATGTACGTCCATTATACGTACGTCGTACGTCCACACGCACCATTTCTGCGTCTCATTGCTGGGCTGGGGCCTCCTCTCAGGCAAGGGTTTAGGCCATAGTCCGCCACGCTGGCCCAATGTGGTTTGGGAACTTCACGTTTTCCGTAATTGGGGATGTCCTTAAAAAGGCCGGGTCAAAAGTACCAAGAATCAACAGACATGAATGAAGAAACTGAGATTTGTGAACCTACTTCGACGTGCAGTTTTCACCACGATGTTTTTCTTCACCGTAAAAGCTTATGGTAGTTTTCAAATGAAATTTCGCACATAAATTACGAGAAATTCAAACGTCCAAGTCCGGCAGCTAGTTTTTTGATTGCCTCTCCCGATCGGATACTGCGACACTTCCGAGGCGCATAATTGCGATTCACAACTGGCCGATCGGAAACTTTTGACATTTCAAATCGGAACAATAGTTGATTTAACTCACAAATTAGAAAGATATAACAGGAATCAGGTTCATCTTCTCGCTCGGAAACCCATTTGATTTCGAGACTACCCGATCAACCGGTCGATTCCGATTTAAATCAAAATCAGCATACATATTCGTGCCCACGGCCTCTGCTTGGTAGCCAAACCCCTTTCTTTATTCTGTGGTCAACCCATTAGACTACCAAGGCCTTTTTATTATTTGTAAATGTTCTACACCCGATTGAAACTCGATTTATTATATAATGAATTTCACAGATTTTGCACATGTTTACATACAGATTTTCTTTCGCAGAAATTGTATGTTTATTTTCATTTGATATCGTTGTATTTCGACAATACTTCGTGTTTATTTATATATGTAAATTATACCACTTTGTGTTAGAGCAATTATTGTTTATATCAGTAACGACCATATTATTCCTTGGTGAAATTACGGGCACTTGAGACTTGTCAGCTTATGTCTCAGGGTGACGGGCGCACTCGCAGTGTCTCTTAGAGCTTACCGATTTCAAGCTCTGAGTGGCACTGCAACGGTTATGGACAGGCGTGTAGCTTACGTTCAAGCGCACGACTTGTTTGTCCAGTCATTTGAATTGTAATATTAGACATTGATAATATGAAGGATATAATCTACAATAGTGGTAGAGCTAAAAATAAAAACTCATGTAATATTTGGAATAACATTTTGTATTATTTAAAATACACACCTAGAATTCATTTCATCACAATACATGTATTATAAGTAGATATTTATACAACATTATTGCGTGTGGATACATTTTCTAAGTATATTTTTAATAGAAGCATTAACATAATAAATAAATATGTGTACTTTATTTTTAATATTCACAATCCACTCTAGCGATTTTTTGTTTGCCATGTGAAACGTGATAACCTACGCCATTTCTTCTCGGTGATGTGTCGTTAGAAGCAGCTAGGATTTAAATTTAGAGTATAGTCGTTAGTATGTCCTGTGTCTTAGGTTGAGACTTATAAAACGAAATTTGACTTCGATTAAGCAAAAATGGCAAACTAAGTAAGTTTCCCGTGTTTACAAAACGAACTTTGCTTAATTTTAAGCAAAAAAGTACGAAGTAAACTCAAAGTTTCATTTAATTTCTTAGGTTTTCGCAAATGGCACACATAGGAAATGAAACTGTGTTTGCGGATTTAAGTCGGGAATATTTGTTTTTTCAAAGAAATCTTTTATGAAAAAGTAAATATACTGAATTTAGATCCGAAAAAAACAATTTAATTTCTTGCTTAAATTTAAGCAAAATTTGTTTTGTAAGTACGAAACAATTGTTTAGTTGCCATTTTTGCTTAATCTTAACCGTGATCTGTAATTCACCTTCGTGTCGTGTCACGCGAATGCTTTTCAGAATCTTCCATACTACAACGCTAGCGATGCGTGTAAGCTATTCCATACAACTCGTTCGACGAAGCAACGCGCGTTGCTGACGTGACGTTAAACGGTCATTCTCGGACTGGGTTTCACTACCTAATTTCCGTGGCAAGTTTTATTAGTTAATTATTAGATTTTTTACCTTAGATTATTATTTAAAATAATTATGCCTCAATATACTCGAATATTTAAATAAGAAAAATTGTCACGGAAATTAGATAGTGAACACTAGATTTAAACTTTTACGATTTTCACACATTATTTGATTTTTAATTCGAGACTTAACATTATATTGGGCAGACAAAACGCATCATAGCGGAAAGAGTCAAAGAACACATCGCGGTTGTTAAGAACCGTCAGTTCAATAAGTCTGCAATAGCCGAGCATTTGCTGGAATCACAACCAAACTATCGAATTAAACTTTATAATCCCAAGATCGTTTCTATAGAACGTCATCGCTATAGTAGAATAGTACGTGAAAGTATTGAAATTAAAAAAAAAAAACACCGTAATTTCAACCGAGCATCAGTTTTAAGCTTTCATCGTCATGGGATCCAGTTGTCAGCAAATGTAAACGACATTGAGTATCGCCCGATAAGTCGCCGGATGTCGTGAGTGTTGTGTGTCGGTCTAGTGACAAGCGTAGTGCATTAATAAATAGTGAAGATTAAGTGCGGGTGATTAGAAAAACTCGCACGGTTAGAAGATGCTGACACCCGCCTCTTCAGTCCCTTCGAGACCATGGACGTTGCAATGCGTCCGAAACGTCGAGGAAATTAAAATATGTTTTTATACCTACGTGATTAAGTCCTGATTTAAAAATCAAATAAATAGCCCGAGAATTACCGTAAAAGCGTTCGTGTGAAACGAACTTCAGCGTAGAGGTTAACCTGTACAGCAAAAGGCAATGCCATCTTTACAAACTGTTGAAAATTGTAGACTCTAGTCTACAATTTTCAACACTCTACTCACATTATACTCTAGTATATAACATTAATTTAAAAATACCGTTGAACAATTACACCGCAGCACATTGATGCCACAAACCCAATTATTAAGAATAAAATTTACGATAAATTAGCGTCTTATTATTTGATAAAATTTAAAAAATGCATCAATTATACAAAACAAAATATTGACACTTTGATAATACATATTTTTGTATTGAAAGTACAGCCGTGATCAAAATAGTTATTACTTTTGGGTAATTTTTTGTTAATAAATAATTAATTATACTTGACGTAATTTTATTTTACATTAAGTGTTATATTGTGAGTGATTTCACTTGTAACATTTTAGAATAATTTTGATTCTGAATAACCAAGAAAGACACGAAAACGAATAATCTGATTATGAATAATAATAAACATCGAAGCAATAGCTAGCGCATCTTTTTCGCATACTTTATACGTACTTGTCTACGCAAAGTGTACATAAGTCGATAAGCAAAGAACTTGTACATTAGACGTTGTTAATTTTGTTATACACCGCGAGTCGCTATGAGATGTAAGCATTTTTTTTTACTGAATTTTCTAGAAAAGTTTCTTAGTCTTTAAACTGGAAGACATTTTTCTTACAGACATATTCTTAGTAATTTATATTTTTGGATCAAAATGTATACACATGGGCTTAAACGTTTATTTTTATTTTTGAATCCTTTGGTTTTAATCAAGGTTTGAAGTGTTAATTATATTAATAAATGAACGTCGATATTTATAAAATTAATTGTCTCAACAAAACGCTACCGCCAGCAGTGTCATGGTGGTGATTGTATCCGAGACTTATCCAAAGTGTCAAATGTCAATCTCAAAAAACTCACAAGCCAAATTTTTCCAAACATTATTCTTCGTGTTTATTTAGTTTTGTTATTGTTGGTTAAAAATTAAGGAGATAAAATATGAATCGGCATGAATAATTATTGGATATATATCGAATAATTATCTAAGAAAATAAATGTCTTTTTAATTTCAAACCCTAATTTTAATTAAATAAATGTTAAATTTATTGTTCTATGTTGCGTACTGTAAAACTTTGTCACTTAAAAAAAACATTCGTCTGTCCTATATTTTTTTTCTACAGTAAAAACCAGAAAATGGCGTGTATATAAATTATATTAAGATTTTCATAACTAACAACGACTATTTATAATTTTCAACTTTTACATTTTGTATTAGTATAATTGTATAGCAACAATCATTTTTTAAATGTCAAAGTCAGTTTGTATCATTGCGCTGGATTAACTTGGCTAGAGATAGCTATAGCAAAATATATGTACGTAAATTTCAAGGAAGTAACACATCAGAGTGCACAATACCTCCCTTCGAAATCTTGGAAATATTGTTTTGTGTTTTGTTCTATATTTTTGATGTGGAAATAACAATTATTATTGCACACGTTTTGTAACTGTAAATAAAAATATAATTATTTTATTTTGATTTTTGCTTTTTATATTTTATCATTCCGAGATTTCAGAAGGTCATCGCTTTACGTGTGTTACTTGAGGTTCGGGTAAATATTACACTGCCTCTTCCGATCTCTGTTAATGACGCATAAAAAATCGCCATGTTTTAAAATATAATTTTAAATACATATTCAAATCTGTGTGTAAACAGGAAGACTTCGTTGTTATATAATAATAGTATAAATACATATATTTCTAAAAATTATTTTATTTCTGGAAGACGTCCGATTATAATATATAGATATAACACGTTTTTCTTACTTTATTCTACATTTGATATGAATAATAACGAAATTCACTATCTTTTTTAAGCTGGAAGCCCAATTTCTTACAGGAGTATTATCAGTGAGTGTACCTACGTACGTTCTAATTGTTGGGTATGGTATCCACCCAAGGTTTTGGATTTTTTTTAAATTTGATGTTTGTTTTCTTCTTAAATGCTAATTTTATTCTTGCAATTGCGTAATATTATTATTATTATTGTAATATTTATTTCTTTATACGTATAACATACAACTATCAAATTGGAAGACACGTTTCACTATATATTGTCATTTATAACAATTTAAAATATAACACAATTGGATTGCGTAGGTGATTTATAGAAACGGCGAAAACGCCATTTTGAAAATTTTTTCCAGATATGTTTTAGGTTTTCGCGATGTTATAAAATAGTTACGTTCAGTTTCAAATTCAATATAAAATTTAAGCTTATTTAATTAAAATCAAAATTGAATTTTAAAACAGGACGTAAATATTTTAAAATAGTCTTTAAAACCACGACCAAACATGCTCCCCGAAAATAATTACGAACTGGCGCTTTTGCCCTTTCTACAAAACACCGACGATTTCAGTATTCCTTAAAACCTAAACAAATCTAGGATATAAAATACTTCGTCATTCAGACTAGATATTACTCTCAAAACATTTGAAGCCTCATAGTGTTGCGACGAAATACAATCGTATGAAGTGGGTACTCATAATTCTAAAAATAGATCAACAATTTTACTAATACTACTTACATTGATTTAGAACGGCAATCCTATCTTAAAAGCCTTTATGAGGGCTGAACCGGAATCATACATTCCTATCACACCGAAAAGAACACCGAGGCCTATTATAAAATAGTCATAGGCGATGGTAGTGCTTTCAAGCTGATTACCTTTCAGCTTCAAATGGAAATACGCTGGCCAAATAAAGCTCAACATAGTGCCAGTAAAACTGCCGATGAAGCCCATCAAAATAGCGAAATGCGGAATGAAAACTGCCATCAGCACTGTAAACATTATCACGCCAAGTCTCCAAGCTAGACCCCAAACTTTAAGTTCTCCGTCTAAAGCATAAATTACTGGGAAAAGAGTTTTTGGTTTGCCCCTGAAGAGAGCACGTTCAAGCAAATCACACGCAGCATAATATGGTAGTGGATAACTCAGAACCGCCTTGACAACAAGAAAGAAGTTCACTAGTCCCTTGAATCCAGCAGAACGAAGGTTGTTTGTTATAACTTGCTGGGTGTCATTCTGAAAGGTCAGGAAGCACATGTATCCAAAGATAGACTTAAAGGCAGCAGCTGCGATGTGAGACCAATTCAACATCCACTCAAACCTTGAACGATCTTCCATATTTCCTTCTAGGGTTGGGAGAAAGATCTGAGACGTATAGGAAAAAACGATGACGCCTAAACTAATGGGAAAGTTTTCAAAATCTAGGCTCCATTTCACTTTAGACCAGCCCCAATCCCCTATGTAAAGGAGGCAGTATCCAAGAACAATAGCGTTAATAATCAAATGACTCATAGTGCACCAGAAAGATAGCATGCTGACGCTCTGCAGCGACTTTAAGAACGCCAGAGGTAAAAGGAATATTCCTGTGAGCATCATCCATGAGCGAGCGTCAATTGAGCCGTCAGGGAACGTGCCGATCATAAGATCACCACAGACAACTACGTAAAGGATGCAGGTCATAACGAGTTCTATGATTTGGGCTACATTTACAATCCTGGCACCATACTTCCTTCCGAAGCACTCTTTGGCAATGCTGACGTATGAATCGCGGACTCTGACGCGCTGGCCCGAGACGGGATCGTCTTCGTACAGGCATTCTACGAGGATTTTGCCAGTGTAGCAACAAATGTGGGCAATTCCAATCATAGCAGCAATCGCCCAGTAGCCTCCTTGGAGTACAGCAAATGGTAGAGACACTACAAACATGCCCTGAAAAGCAGAACATTATGCACATTTATTCAATTCTAGAACTCAAAATCAAAAACGTTGACCTCTCATCGTAGTAAGTTTTAATAAATACCTGGATAGCATTAGTGACGTTCCATGCGGCCTGGTACTCGTTGATCTTAGCACCCGGTGGTCCACCACCTTCTTCAAAGCCGCCTTCTTCAGACGAGGCGTAAAAGTCCACACTTTGCATACTTTGCGTCCTACAAAGATCGAATTTAGCTATCAATAAATAGTTCAACATAACCAAACTTTATGTCTTTGTGGTATGTCATAGTACTTACCTTGGTGCACCATCTTGTTGCGGATAGGTGTTCTGGTAGCTGGTAAACGAGTCTTCGGCCTGTAACTGTCCACTGAGGAACGGATTCGTCGGATTGGTGGACTGGTAACTCGGAGATGTAGTCTCATTCATGGTTGACAGTTCGCAGCTTTCGCCCATGTTTTCTGTTCAGGAAATTAATTTAATTTATGCAATGACCACTGACAAAAACTGTATTGTGGAATATAGTTGCCCAGTTCTCATGGATTATATATATATATACATTTCAACTTCTGCATAGTTCTCTACATTGCTTTATTTATACTTTTTAATGGTATATTCAAAATCAATAATTCGAGGGGGAGGTTAAACTTAAAGAAAATTTTAAAACAATCACTTGCTACAGTGACGTTCAAATAGTGTTTTTCTATCGATTCTTTGTTTCTTTCCTTACCTAAGTTCGCGAATCTAACATTTTGTGGGGGGCGCGGTGGTGGCCCTGGTTTATCAGGCACCTGCTGCCTGACGGTTTGCATTGCCACATCCAGCATATTCTTGATAGGGGGCACCTTGAAACGTCCCAGGTTCAACATATTGGCTTTCTGTTATTTCTCTTGAATATCTCAAATATGTGTCCAGGGGACTTATTTTTATTGTGAAGAAATTGCTATCATCAACTTTTACAAATACTGTGTCAGGTTTTATTGCTTCAATAAATATTTCAATAATTTAACTATGACTTTAAATTGACGTAACAGGAAGACATTGATTTTTAATAACACTATAATATTCTCTACTTTCTTAACTTTATAACTTCATTGTATTATTTTCTAACTTTTAACACTAGTTTGGAAGACTTCTTTACACTAACACTAAGGTAAATTAGTATTGCATTATTGTGTAAAAGTGCCGTAAGATTTTTTGGCAGCCATTGCTTTGATATTTTCTGCCTCTAAATTCATTGTTTCAATGCTGACATTTTTCATTAATATTTTAACGGTTGACACTATTGGTGATCACTGTACTATTTTTAAGTGTTTTTTGTTGACTTTAGGTTAGTATTTCGTGGTTTTTCAGCATTTTTACGGCAATTTTTCTTTCCAATGGCTGCTGGCACAGTTTTCCGCCCGAGGGTGTAACAAGGGGTGGCGGGGATGCTGCGCGGTGTGTCGATCGATGTAATCGCAAAGGGTGGATGCCATGCGATGTAGAGAGAGCGAAATCCAGTTTTGACTTTAGTTATTGTATTAATTAGTATATGATAAGTGTTGCGTAACTGAAAATGGATGGTCGCTCTTTGTACTTAAATGGACGAAATTTTATTTTAAATAACAAAATAATTTGTATTTTTTATTATTATAATAGAACGTCAAAAAAATAAATATTTATTAATAAAAAGTATTTATTAAAAAACAAAAACATAGTTTGGTACTTTAGAAACTTGGTCGATTTTAAGTTTTTACATTTTCATGTAGAACGCAAACTTGACACGTTTACACTCGACTCTATGCCAATTACAATAAGTCCAAAGTGATAGCGGATCGCGACATTAATTTATTTTATTTTGTTAGGGATATTATTTTGTTTCTCAAGAGCTATGTTTTACCGAAAAAATAAATAAAAAAAAGGGTATTATTAATAATGGAACGTGCTGACGGGCGGCCGCCATTGCGAAAAACACATTTGACGAGAACGGACGTGGTTTTTGTTTTCTTTGGATTTATAGTGGAAAGATATCATAATATAATTTATAACAGTCACTGGAGTCTCATTTCTACTATGACAATGTCTCTCACAATGTCTGCAGGAGGGCGGATGGCGGAGCAGGAGTGCATTCTAGAGTGGCGACCACGTCAAAGAACACGTAATGTAGGACGCAGTGCGGCAAGATGGGCGACCTGATAAAGGTGGCCGGCAGCGGCTGGATGCGGACTGCACAGGGCACTCCTGTTCTCCGTCCGAAACAATTACTATCAAATAAGTAATACTCGACAAAACTAAAACAAGCAGGATGCAAATGAAGCTTCAAAGAATAGAATCATTTATTTCATATTATCAGTTTCATAATATCACAATTCGAAATATAATGTCAAGGGATAACATGATCGTCATTAAGGTAAATAATAATTTTAATGTTATTATAAAATAAAATAATTAAAAGAGAAATAAAGAAAAATACGAACTACAAAAATACAAATAAAAATTCGTCTAAAATTAAAAATATAATTACAATTTCTTTAAAGGAAATTCCTCTACACTGTAGAATTCATTATCCAATAAAAGGTCTTTCAGTACATACATTTCAGTATACTTATTTGATAGTAATTGTTTCGGACGGATTTCGGATGTACTCGTAGGACGGAGAAAAGGAGTAGACCTTCAGGAACGGGAGAGTTGTCGTGCTCAAAGTGACGCATAAGTCCAGCAGTGGATGCGTGTAAGCTGGTGATATTTATTGGCGCGGTTGTCTGGCACATTACTATTATTATTAGCCCCACACAATGAGCGCGACGCGGTAGGTGGGTATCCGCATAGGTTTGACAGCAATGTCAATTATAAACGCGCTTACATACGAATAGGGTAGTCTAGTTTAAGACGACGCACTTAAGGTTTGAGATCGTATAGAATGAAAACAAAAAGTGTTAGAAAATCAGCTATTATTTTATTTTATAGTCTACTTATCTGACTCTTACATACTAACGTGAAAAGTAGTTATATTTAATAGTGTGGTTGTAATTGATAAAAAAGTGCAATACGCAACACCTTTTTTGGTAGGACTTCGTTTATCGGTTGCACGAATCACCTCCATACGTTTCTGGTAATGTGATTTTTTGTCTCGGTATGCATGGGCCTTTGCTCGTGGAGAGCTGATAAAAATACTAGACTCTCGCAAAAGGTTTCAATTGATTGAGAAAGAGGCATAGCAATAGAAATTTTATTCAGAAGTACACTATTCTAATAAAAATGGTATGAGACTACGCGCGTACTCTTGCAACACGTCGAGTTGGGTACTCTTGCACACTTCAGCCATTTCAGAATAAAACTGCTATTAACCCCTATGTTGCAAGTGACCAGAATCGTTTGCAGTTTGACCTCTAGATGAGTTATTGGGCGATTTCATACAAAATTGGTTTTAAAAAAAAATGCTTAGTTTATTCTCAGTAACAATTTGAAAATACCAAAAAGTTTTTTGCAAATACATCAAAATGTTCAGATTTAGGTAGTTAGTTTCTTGGTTTTCAATAATGTTTCATAATTTTTCCGCGCAACAATTTCCACTTCTTAACACTACAAAATGACACTGAACTTAGTTGCTTAATGTAAATAACTTCTCGGCAATCTACATTGCGTACTCTTATCGGATGCGTCATCTTAGACCAGGCTACCCTAGGTATTTTGTGTGTGTGTGTGTGTGTGTGTGTGTGTGTGTGTGTGTGTGTGTGT